CAGTCATCACTATTCAGTACTCAAAGGCAGTTTTTTGTTGTTGAAAGTCAGGAACCAACAGAATGATTTTTAGCTCAATCTCGTATCGCAAAGGAACTCACCCACGGCACAGAAGAGGAACATGGAAACCAGAGCAAAAGCTGGCAAGGATTTCATGTTGCTGCAGCAGAAATGTTGACCGTTGTTGGTAATTGTCTGCGTGTCTGTCAGTGTAAACTGCTGATACCGGTGCTGGTTTATATAAAGGAAAGGCTGGTCAATGACTCATACAACATACTCGTACATAGAATGAATGTGTCAACCAATAAATAAAAGAATTACACGTGTTTCAGTGTAAAGCAATGGTTGTACTCAAACACAGGATAAAGCTTATTCAAGGATCTTCTAATATCACTATTCACTGAGTACAAGGAGTGCTCTTTGTTTATCTTGTTCCTCCCAAATACTGACGTAATAAGCAATAACATGTTCTTATATAACAACAAAATTGCATTTGTGTAGCGCCTTTCACGTCGAGAGTACGTCCCAAGGAAAATTATGTCCCTTCCCCACAGTACTCCTTGTCTTATGTCCCTTCTGGAAACCTCCTTTCTTGGAATTATCCCCTTTGCTGCTGTTGGTGTCTTTAGCTGTTTTTTACATGCAGAAATAGTTATTATTATCATTACATTTGGCGTAATGCCTTTCAGGTTGGGATTACATCTCAAATCACTTTTCTGGATACACTGTGTAAAGTGGGTGATAAAGTATAATCCTGTATAATCACTGAAGACCTTTCTTTTCGACCGCGCCTTTGGTCACCTTCCTCCCCCCTCCCCCTCGCTCGGCCCCGGGATCCGTTACTGTGAAGCGCTCTGAGAAGCCATCCAACGCTCTATAATCCCAAGTTGTTGCTGTTGTTCACTCAGAACACATTACAGTTCATTCTGCAGCAAAACTTAATTTGATGAAATTGTACAAATGTAATCCTTGCAGTACATGGATTAGTATACTTAATTGAATGTTGTTAGGCTTTTGTCTCAGAATACTTTCTTGAGTTTGCTGCGACAGTGTGATTGCTGTAGTCTATTACTTCAATAATAATCCTTGCATTTGATATCTTTAGAAGTTTCACTTTCTAAATTTCTAAATTGGAGGTGTGAATATAAAAGAATATAAAAGAGGCTGATGAGTTAAACATTTTTTTTAAGTTTGAAAAAGGCTACATGGATGGGCTATACCGGGTAGAAAAATAGTTTAAAAGTAATATTTAGGTTTCATATAAAATTGAAGAGGAGAAAGTAGTGGACTGGAAAAAAAGCAATTTGAATAATATATAAAGGGGAAATTATCCCAGATAAATTGGGGAGGAAAATGTACCGATAAGCTGCTGCATAAGTCTTCGGTAACATTCAAAAATGAGTTGGAGACAAACTAGATGTATTCCAAAAAGGGAATGGTTTCCACCCCAGGGAAGTTTGCAAATGTCACTCCATTATTTGAGAAGGGAGAGGGAAACTGAGCACCTACAGAACTTTACATCCGTTTAACTTCAGTTGTGGGTAGTCACTGGAATCTATCAGTGGAGTCCTGTAGCTCAGTGGTTAGAGCACTCGCCTCGCAAACGAGAGACCTGGGTTTGATTCCCAGCACGGCGAAACGTTGGGCAAGTTTCCTTACTTCACATGCCTCTGTTTACCTGGCAGTAAGTAGGAACCTGGTTGTTAGTCGATTGGGGGATCGCGTTTCTGGGGGTAATAATTCCTTCAAAAAAATAATAAATTAATCACTCAATCTATTACTGTTTGTGGGACACTGCTGTGCGCAATTGGCTGCCATGTTCCACCCACAAAATATACATTCAATTCACTTTGCAGTATATTCTCTGTAGCTCTTTGAGACGTTTCAAAGACATGATAAGGTGCTATATCAAATGCAAAGGTTATTATGCATCAGACACAGAGTGGCTGAGCACTTGGACAGGCATGAGTTGATTAAATAGATTTGTGGATTTGTGAAGGGTAGGTCATGTCTGACAAATCTAATTGACTTTTTTTTGAGGTCACTACACTAGCATGTTGGATAAGGGATTGCATAATGTTGTTGTCAAGATGAACGTTCAGAAGGTATTTGCCTCTGCCCAAGAGATTAATAGCAAAAATGAAAATTGGAGATAACTTTGAAAAATGGGTTGGTAATTGGAGACTAGGGCTAAAGGGAGCATTCTCCGATTCTCAGGATGTAACAAGTGGTATTCCCCAAGAATCTGTATTGGATGAAAGGATAGAGGGCTGTGTATCAAAGTTAGCAGATGACACTAAATTGAGATATACTAATTCTGCAGATGAAAGCAGGAAGTTATAAAAGGATATATAAACAGATTAAGCGAGTGGGCAGGATCATGGCAGATAGAATTCAATGTGGGGAAGTGTGAGGTCATCGAAAAATATCAGATCAGAATATTTTCTTCATAGTGAAAGACTAGAAGCTGTGGAGGAGCAAAGGGATTTAGGTTTCCAAGTACATCAATCACTTGTCCACAGGTACAACAAATTGCATTTATATAGCACCTTTCACGTCAGCAGGACATCCCAAGGCACTGAACAAAGAGGGGTTTGGACCCGAGCTGCAGGTTGGGATGAGAGAGTAGTGGAAGGCAAGGGGGAGGTGGAGGGAAGATGACCGAAAGCACGATCAAAAGGGAAGTTCTTTAAATGGACCTTGAAAAAGACAAGGGAGGGGGCGAGATGGAGTTCCGGAGGTGTGGGTTTGGAAAGGCTGAAGGCCTGACCGCCGATAGTGGAGCACGCGGTGTAGGGGACATGGAGCAGACCAGTGCCTACAGAGTGGAGGGAGTGGACAGGTTGGTTAAGTTTTAATAGGATGTGGAGGTAGGGGGGATGGATGGGGAGCCAGTGAAGTCGGTCAAGGATGGGGGTGATCGACTCACAAAACTTAGTGCGGGAGAGGACATGAGCTGCAGAGTTCTGAATAATCTGGATGTTGTGGAGAGAAAAGTTGGGAAGTCGTAGATTTAGGGTCAAGCCTCGACATAATGAAAGCACGAATGAGGGTTTTAAGAGCCTGAGGGGAGATTTTTTTTTGGTCAGCCAGGTATCTGGCACATGCAGAAACCCATCACCGTGCATAAGAGTATCCAAACCAAACTGAGATTTCAATGCATCCCACCTACACATGGAAATCCCAAAGCTAGATTGTTGGAATGGAATGTGCACTCTCTACCGGAGGCCTCATCCTGCTTACCTAATTCAGGAAAGTATTAGGTACAGGTTGGCAAGAGCCAAGGCTTGGAGAACCCAGAGTGTGCATTGGGGTAACTGCTGGAGTCTAACCAGCTAAAGCTTGCATTGATATTGCTGTCTGGCAAGCTTTCCCACCCTACCTGTTAGGACTTTGCAGGGTTAAAAGGAGCTAATGACTGTTCTGCCCTTCCAAGTCCTGCCAATGATCCAGGATGGCTGTGCTTCCCCCCGAGGGGCGAGACGGTGGAGGTGGTCAACATTGTCAAAGGCAGCGAAGAAATCAAGAAGGACAAGACAGATAGGTTGAGCAATTTAGGCCTATATTCTCAAGAATGAAGAATGAGAGGTGATCTTATAGAAACCTATAAGATTAAGAGGCACAACAGAATGGATAGTGGGAGTCTTTTTCCCCTGGTTGGAGAAACTATAACCAGGATTGACAGTCTTAAAATTAGGGGTAAGCCCTTTCGCAGTGAGTTGAGGAAAAACTTCTTCAGAGGGTAGTGAATTTATGGAATTCTCTACCCCAAAAGGCTGTAGATGCTCAGTCCTTGAACATATGCAAGACTGAGATTGATAGATTTCTTGTGGATAAAAGGATTAAGTCATATGAAGATAAGGCAGGTACGTGGAGTTAGATCAGCCATGATCTTATTGAATGGCGGGGCAGGGTAGAGAGGCCGAATGGCCTATTCCTGCTTCTTATGTTCTAGGAGGCGGTTGCCAATCGAGCGGAGGTGCCGGGTGGTGGATTGGGGCGTGAGGAGGTCGGAGAGGTAGGGAGGTGCCAGGGATTTGAACACGAAAGTGAGGATTTAGAAGTCAATCCGTTTGGTGATGTGGAGCCTGGCTAGAACTGGTGAGATGTGGGTATGGAGTTTGGTTCGGGTCAGTATGCGGACAGCAGAGTTCTGAATGAGCTGGAGCTTTTGAATAGTGGAGCTGGGGAGACCGGCGGGGAGTGTGAGTAATGGAAAGAAAGGGGAGGTAATGTGAATGAAAGAGGAGGTTTGCTCCCAGTGGCTGGGAACAGTAGGAATTGCAGTGAAAATGGGGAATAGGACAGTCAAGGTGGCTGCTGTTGGGCAGCCAACAGCATGTGGAGTCTGTGGGACAGTCCAGAAGGGAACAGAGATGGGTAGGGTGGTAAGAGAGAAGCGACTAAAATTATTTCCTTAAAAGATAGTAAAAATTATACTTAGCCTGGACATTTGAAAGTTGCCAGGCAGAAATTATGTCTGTTTTGCCAAGTTCAGACAGGAGATTTGAAATGGCACCTCTGCACCTGGATCACCTGAACTCATCAAATTAAAGTTCTTCTTTAACGTCACCTGGACTGTCCCAGCTTCCAGCCTTGGATTTCTCCACTGCGCTCATTGTGGCAGATGCTGTTGGCTGTCTCAACAGCGGCCACCCTGAACTCTTGCACTGGTCCCACTCACCTGCAGGTCTCACTCCCCGAGACCCGCGCTGCCTGAGTGTGCTTTACTGTTCTACTGTGCTTTACTATCTCAAGGGAGTTTATAGGAAACACCCAGATACAATGCTCTTCCTGCCCCCCCCCCCCACCCCAAAGTCCACAGGGCATTCATTACACCGAGGTCAGGCTGTATCTGAGTTCCAAGTTGCTGTGTTGGGCTTGAACCCAATTGAACCAACTGAGACTGGTGGACACACACGCACGCACACACATGCACTCAAAGCTTGTAGACAGTGAATTAATTAACAAAGTACATTGTTAAACCCAAACTAATGTAAAGAAATATTTTTATTGACAACAAACAAAGATTTCAGTCATCTTCAGCAAACAACATTTTACAATAAATCTGGAAGCTATTTGACATTTCTTAATGCATCTGCAATAATGTTGACATTGTGAATGTATATATTTTTTAAAATATGCAGGAGTTTGTTGAATGATTAGTCCAAACACTATTCAAATATCACATGTCATGATACCCTAGTTATCTATGTCATTTTTTTATATATACACATAGGCAAAATGTTATTTGTTTGCTGTCTGCATTAAGGCTTAAACAGGAACAGAAGTATGTAAGTGACAAAAGAAAAAGAGGATGCAAAGACAAAAAATATCAAAATTGGTGAAAATAAGAAACAGAAGAAAAAGAACCGGTCAAGTTGAGCAAAGCAAGACGAGTGTGGGTAGTGGGATGGAATATCCCAGGACTCATAGGCAGGGGGCGTGGGGGTTAATGCGAAGTATTTAATTGATGAATTGAGAAGAAAACTGCTTCTCATGTCAGTACTTTGGGCGATGGTTTCGCATTGCCTCCTGCAATAAACCCAGCATTAACTCAAATTGCCACTTTGGTACATACTTGGCGTAATTTTCTATTGTTGACTAAGAAACCAAACACTGATCATCCTGAGCTCAAACAGCATTTGAACTCAAGTTTCAGAAATGGAGGCATTTTGCACGCCAATTGTACCTCAAAAAATAAACTATTTGAATCATTTAATGTGGTGTAAAATTTGTTGCAATTCATAATGCATTGTGCTGTGGGTGAGGAATGCACACAGAAGCTGTGGCCTCCACTTAAATTTTCATTGGGTCTTGCACTGAACATCATTAGCAGCAGCAGAAGAGGACTTCTTCCACCAATCCTTACGATCATTCTTCTCAGGGTTCTTCTGAGGACTTTCACCTGACAACAAATAAAGTACATTAAAGAACAAAAATAATTATATTCAACTTGACTACACTTGTAACTGAGGGTATTGCGGGGGATTAAACATCTCTCCTCCGAGACTTGGGGAGAAAGTTCCTGAATATATTTCTTTCAAGGAACAAGGAATGTGGTCATTATTATTTCAGGTACTGGGAGCAGCTTTTCAGTGCTTACATTAAGCCAATACTGAAATAATAATAATCCTTGCATTTGATATAGCGCCTCATCACATCTTTGAGACGTCTCAAAGCTTCACAGAATGCACTGTAAAATGAATTGACTGTACACTTTGTGGGAGAAAAGCGGCAGCCAAATTGCGCACAGCAGTGTTCCGACAAAGAGTCGTGGATTGAGTAACAAAATTATTATTATTTTTTCTTCAACAGATTATTACCCCCAACAACCAGGTTCCTACTTATTGCTAAGTCAACAGAGGTGTGTGGAGTTAAGAAACTTGCCCAACTTTTGCCCAGGCTGGGAAACAAACCTGGGTCCTCTTGCTTGCGAGGCGAGGGCTCAAATCTCTAAACTACAGGATTCCAAGTCTAAGCATCAAACTCCTAGAACAATCTGACATGCTGAAAAGTTACTCTGATATGCAGCACTGAAATAGCAGCAACTTTGCTCCTCCATTGCTAAAAGCAGCAGTATTGAATCATTAGCAGGCATGGGTGAAATTGATTCCTTGAAGTTGGTGTGGTGGTGGGGGGAAGAGGAGGTGCATCCCTGACAAACGTAAAGTTTTAACCCACTTTAAACTGCAGAAACAATACAAATTTACATACCAAGATATCTTACAGAATACACAATTTACAGAATGCACTTTTCTTAACTTATATTCTATGGTATAGAAGCCAAATATAAAACACGTTTTATCCCAAGTCATATCCTTTATGAGTTGGGATACCTTTGGGTCTCTTACTTTCCTCAAATGCAGAATTCCTTACCTGCCAATGACCCCAGACCTGAATTATCAAAAAACTTGGAGGGATGTGAAAGCCTTGATTGTGATTCCAAATTGAAGAACCTGCTTTCAGAAGAGTCAAAAGATTGTGTTTGTCCTTGAAAAGATGTTGAGACTTCTACTGAAGGTGGAACTTTTTGTGGAGATGACGTTTGTTGTTTGAGAGGCAATAGCAAAGTTGAAGGCACGTTCACATCTTCGGATTTCAGATCAAGTGCTCTCACCTCTTCCTTTCTTGCTAATTTTCCTTTCCACTTACGAATTTCACCTTCCCACTCTGCTGCAGAACTAAACATTTTAATAATGTCAGTATAATTTAATGTCAACAGCATGTTGCAACCTAAGTAAACATAAAAACTCTACCTTCATTATTGCATTATTTGTGTACATGTACCAGGCAAATTGGAGGCTAGGGTTTGATGAGGAAGAGACTGGATTGCATTCTCCTGTGGGGTGTGTGTGGCAGGTTGTGGCATTGAATGAGATCACAGAACATCGTAAACCTAAGCCTAAACCACCTTCATTGCTTTCATTAATTTCCAAAAGGCCTTCAACCTTGTGCCTTATGAAGCTCTCGGATTAAACTGGAAGATATGGGAATACATTGTCAAATTGTGGATTTTATCCAGAATGTGTATTCCAGATCCAAGATTCACGTGAGCCAAAGTGTCTTGAAAGTGGGGTAGGTTAAAGCTGTTCATTGTCTTAGTCAATGCATTTATGAGGTTTTGGATGGCATTGCAGGAGATGGACTCGGTGCATCAGTTTCAGGTCTTACTGACAGAGGAATTATGTGATGGACATCTGCCTTCAGTGTAGTGTTAGGATCTTTACAGAGCAGCCTGTGACGTACCAGACCTTAATATTCTCTAGTCCAGGTCCAATGCTGCTTACCAGGCTTACTCAACACCAGCTGCTTAATCCAGAGTTTACCCCAAATCCACCTCAATACTTGATCCTGGACTTCACAAAGTGGCCAGACGACGGCTGTCAGGAACCCTGAGACACCACCCACGTGAAGGACGCTATATAAATGCAAAATTGTTAGTTCATTCCCAGGAGCTCGAACCCATGAAGGAGAGCTGTTTGGTCTTATTGATAAGGATCAATAATGGGGGACATATCTTCAGTAAATACCCTTAAGGTCCCTATTTGAGCCATAACTCTGCACTGTGGGGTACCATCATCATGCTCCACTGAGTGTCCCAGTGTTCAAGATGGTGAACATTAGTTTGAAGAGGCCATTTAGAATGTGACAATGAATTATAATTGGAACAATAGGTTTTTGGTCGTGAAGCTGTTAAAAAGGTACTGTTCACAAAATTACAGAAACTGAGGTTCAAGAGGGAATACATGCTGTTGGATGTCAGAGACAGAATGCAGCTTTGATGTAGAATGTTCACAGCATAGTCACAATACTAGTCCACAATTTGAAGGGTTGGTCCATCATGAAAGTAGAATTTTCCAGCACAGAAGGAAGTCATTCGATCCACTTTGCCTTATACCAGCTCACTGACAGACCCACCTGCTTAGTCACAGCTCAAAATTGAGGCTGAGGCTTTATGCCACTTAGTGGGAAAACTTGCCAAACAGTGCTGTCCATGGCAAGCTATGCGGTTTTAGCTGGTTAGACTCCAGCAATTACCCCAATGCACACTTGGGGTCCCCAAGCCCTGGCTCTTGCCAACCTTGATCACCCCCTCTCTTCTCTCACACACTCTCGCCCTCTCAATTACTCTTGCTCACTCCCCCTCTCTCTCTCTCACACACACACACACTCTCTCTCAATCCCCTCTCAAACTCAATCACTTTCCCCTCTATCTCATTTTCTTTCTCTCCCCGTCTCCCTCATATTCACTCCCCCCTTCACCCCTCAATCTCATTCAGACACTCTCCCTCTGCTCTCTACCTCTCTCAAATCACTCCCTCTCTCCCCACCACTCTCTCTTACTCCCCCTTTTTTACCTCTCTCACACTCCCCTCCCAATCAGCCGCGCGGGTACTTTCTGCAGCAGCAGAAGCCAGCGCTTGTTAAGGATGTGGTTGGTAGAGATGCGCTCGTCTTCCTGACAGACAATGGCAGGTATTATTTTCACTTTCCGTGTTGGGTCCTCCCAACCGCCAGCTCCTGCCGCTGCCCTGGAAGGATGTTCACCAGGGAGGGAAGGTAAATTGGAAATGGTCGCCGAATAAAATTACCGACCGGGCCAGATATTAGACCACGCTGATTTAACTAATACATGGCAACTGTTGGACAAATTTGTAAAGCAGTGCTGGGTATCTTCCCATAAGATTTTGGGTGGATGAAAAAAAAATCATTTAGGCAACAGAAATTTTCTACACAAAAAGTAGAGTATTTGGTCTCATCTTTCCAAAATACCCACCCATATTCTAAACAGCATCAAACAGTTGCCAAGTGGGTGCAGCTTCCTGACCTTCATCACAATGAATAAACATAAAAATATCCTATGGATTTGTTATCAATGTTAACCAGCAGTGTAGCTCCAGATATGATTATCCAAACTCCATCCAACTGTATGTAAATGAAGCAATTTTTTTAAATTGCTAAAACAAATATAATAGGACATCTTAACTACCTTGATAGAGATTGATTTTTCCTTCTGAGCTGAGTAACTTCACGTTCGAGCTTTGCATTCTCTGACTGTAAAACGAGAACCAATGCACTCTGGACGATTCCACTCCCAGAACCACAAGTGGTTGGTGAATCAGAAGAACAAATCGCTTCTTCAGTTTGATCCACATCTGAAGGTGCAAGTGACAAATATATTAGCATAAGTTGCTTCCTCCACCACAGAGCCCGCCTCTGACCGTACCTTACCCCAGATGCAGCCAAAACATTCGTCCCTGTATTCGTCACCCGCCCCCCCCACTGGTCTCTCCAGCTTCACCATGCACAGGATCCAGCTGATCCAAAACTCCACCACCTGCATACTCACCCATACTAAACTACGTAGCCCATCACACCAGTTTAAGCCAGTCTCCACTGGCTCCCCATCATCGAACGGATCGATTTCAAGATCCTCACACTCGTTTTCAACCTACCTCTCCAACCTGCTTATACCCCCCAACCCACTGCTTCCCCTCGCCGGCCTTGGTCATATGCATGTCCCTCATGCCCTCCATTCCACCATTGATGGCCGAGCTTTCAGTCACTTCACCCCGAAACTCTGGAATACTCTTTCTCTATCCCTCCACCTTGCCTCCTCCTTCCTCATCTTCAGGTTGTGGCTGAAAAACTCCCTATTCGACTGTGCCTATGGTCACCTCTCGCTCCTCCAGCTCGGCGGTGTGCTTTGCTACTACTCTCCACGAGGGGCACTATATAAATGCAAGCTCCTGTTGTTAACAGACATTGTCAACCTCTCCTTGTCCACTGGCACCATTCCCACCCCCTTAAAACATTGCATCACCCCCACCCTCAAAAAACTTTCCCTGGTCACCAATTTCCAATCTTCCTTTTCTTTCCAAGGAGCTGGAACGAGTTATTGCTTCCCAGCTTCACTTTTCTTCTTATTGGTGGTGGAACCTTCAGCCTCTCTGCCCCAACCTTTGGAACTCCATCTCACAGTCCCTTCGCCTCATGCCCCCCCGCCCCCTGCCTCTTTCAAGGATCGTCTCAAGACTTTCCTCTTCAATGCGCCTTCGGTCACCCTCCCACCCTCTCCCTGTCCTTCATCTCTCCTGTTCCCAACCCCCAGCTCCAGGTGAAAATCTTGACTATCCAGCACTGTGGGACTTTCTCCCGATGTGAACGGTGCTGTACACATGTAATTTGTTGTTGGTTTGTTAAATGGTCATAGAATTAGTATCTTGACTGACCTCATTCCATCTCGTCTGTATTGATTGCCCACTCCGCCTGAAAATGTGTACAGCACCTTTCACATCAGAAGGACATCCCAAAGCGCTTAGACAGTCAAGATTTTCACCCGGAGCAACAACAACTTGCTTTTATATTGCGCCATTCACGTAGCGAGGATATCTCAAGGCCCTGGACAGTCAAACGTTTGCACCTGAACTGCGGGCTGTAGTCAAGAGGAGTGTAGACCATTGGGGTGGTAGTGGGAAGATGACAAAAAGGAAGGTCTTGAGACAGGTCTTGAAGGAGGCAAAGAAGAAGTTCTGGGATAAAGTTCGAGAGGGAGGGAGTAGAAAGGCTAAAGACCCGATGATGGAGCTGGTAGGGTGGGTGATGTGGAGCAGGCCAGTACCCGACAAGTGGAGAGGTTGGTTGGGCTTTAGGAGGTCTCAGAGGTAGGGTGGAGCAAGACTGTGGAGGGCTTTGAAGATGAAGACAAGGAGTGCTTTGAGAAGTCTCAACAACATGATAAGGCGCTATATCAAATGCAAGGATTATTATTAAGAATGAAAAGTACTAACATGAAATATTCTGCTGTGTTTGGTTTCTTCGAAGTTCTCGTTTCATGTTTCCCAGTAATTCATCCTTGTGCCTTGAACTGGCTGTTAGAGAAGAAACTCTGCAAAACAATTATTCAGAATACTTACAATGTGGTCTAAGTGAAAGTATGTAATAGTAAAATGATAAGAGTCAATCATCCTTACTGTTGTTCAAGGCGTTTGGTTTCGCTAATCTTCTCCAAGTCCAATTTGGAACATCTGTTTTTCAGATCAATAATTTCCTGTTTGAAGGGTTCAGTACATTTGTCCACACTAACCTGTAATTACCACAAAAACAGTGCAACAGTAATTGACATCCCTGTATTAAGAAAAATTCTCAACACAATATTATACATTTAAATAAATAAAGATACTTAGCAAGAAGTATCTTTTACTGTGCTCGTCTCTCCTCCCCTCCTTGCTATTCTCTCTGTTTTTATCCCTCCTTTCACCTCTCTGCACTTTTCTCTCTTTGCTCTTCTGCAAGCTTCTCAACTTTTGCACTTCTAATTTTCCTACACACATCCGTTCCCTGACCAGGACCCGTTTTTTTATTATTATTATTATTTTTCTGCCTCGGTCACATTGCCCACCTCACAACCAACGCACCCAAAACCCTTGTCCACACCTTCGTCACTTCCCGGCTGGATTATTGAAATGCCCTCCCGCTGCTCCCCCCAGCTCCAACATACACAAAATTAATCCAAAACTCCACCGCGTGAATACTCTCCCGCACAAAACTTTGTACCCCCATCACACCAATCCTTACCAGACTCCACTGGCTCCCAAACACTGAATGGATCGATTTCAAGATCCCTCACTCATTGTCAAATCCCTTCATGCCCTTTCACCTCTCTACCTACCTGCTATACCCCCCACTCCTCCACCTGCTGCCTCCACTCAGCTGGCTTACCCTCGTCCCCTCCACCATTGGTGGCGTGCCTTCAGCCATTATGCCCCAAAAATCTGGAACTTGCTCCCTCATCTCTCCCTCCTCACTTTCAAATCTTGCCTAAAGACCTTCCTTTTTGATCGTACTTGCAATCACCTCCCCCCTCCCTCACATCAGACTCCATCACTGTTAAGCGCCCGATAGGTAGGGAGGTGCGAGGGCATGAGGGATTTGACAACGAATGAGGGGATTTTGAAAGGTATGGAAGGCAGACAAAATGGTGGAGTAAAGCGGTCCTCGTCAAGCAACGGGTGTGGGGTAGGAAGGATAGCCATGGGGTGAACCTGATGCCTAGGTTGTGCACCGGTTCGGTGAGTCAGAGGGACAGGCAAACAAGACAAACAACAAGATGGTTAAAAACACAGTACGTTGCACCATTTGATAAATTACTCACTTACAATAGGCCACCTGTCCATCTGGAGTGAAGTTACCGGAAAAGTGGTTCATTAAGAACTTTCTTAAAACTCATTGGTGCAGTAAAACCCAACAGTATGTAGAGCATGTTCAATGAGAAAGTTGTCATTTTGCTACTTGTTCAATGTAGATTTTCAAGTAAATCACAAGATTTGGGGATTGGGAGGGGGGAAATGTTTCCGAGCACACCCATGTTCATTCATAAAATCTGCATGTTCTCGTCACACATTTATAATTCACACCTGTGGGTGGGCTGAAACGTAGGGCTACAAACCTAAACTTCATACATAGACATTGGTTGTGCTTACGTACCTGCAGTTGTGTTGTAGCCTTCAAAAGATCTTGAATCTGATCGTTCTTTCTCACCAGTTCTGCCTGAAGAGCTTCAACCTTCTTGTCCAGAGGCTTGGAGCTGAATTCAGTCTGCAATGCCAATATTTTATTCTCCTGCAGCTTGCACTTCTCTCGACTCATCTCTAGTGCAATCTCAAGCTTTCCAATTTTCATCTCTCTATCCTACAATTATAAAAAGTAATAATGTGACTATATGTAATAACCCATCAGTTATTAGAACATTTAGGTCAAGCAGACTCCTTTAGATGCAATGTACAAATGAAAAAAGACTAATTGATATTATGAATACAAATAATAAGCCTTGTATTTGTATAGAGTCTTTCACATTAGGAGGAAGTCTCAAAGCACTTTATAGAATATATTGTAAAGTGTAGTGACTGCGTTTTTTTTTGGTTGAAAGTAGTCAATTGCACACAGCTACTTCTTACAAACAGCCATGAAGTGAATGACCAATTTGGTGGATTGTTTGGCATAATAACTTTGCATAAGTCATGTCAAATATATGGTCCCAACTGATATGACTTATGTGAGGTTTACTGTAGTGTAAAGAAATCAAAGTGGTTTTGATAAGAAATTGAATAGGACTTGGGTGAATGTACAATTTAGGCGATTATACGATTTATAATAATAATAATCCTTGCATTTGATATAGCCCTTATCACATCTTCTAGATGTCTCAAAGCGCTTCACAGAATATACTGTAAAGTGAATTGATTGTGTATTTTGTGGGCGAAACGCGGCAACCAATTATACATAGCAGTGTCCCACAAACAGACATGGAGTGGATTGAGTGACCAAATTATTATTTTTTTTTTTGAAGAGATTATTATCCCCGGAAAAGTGATCCACCAATCGACTAACAACCAGGTTCCTACTTACTGCTAGGTAAACAGAGCCGTGTGGAGTAAGGAAATGTTTTGCCCTGCCCAGGAATCGAACCCAGATTGCAAGGCAGATGTCAAACCACTAAGCTACAGGACTCCATGTATGGGCAGTATCAATAGCTCAGCAATTAAGCATTAACCACAATGAATACCTGAATTGCTTGCTCAAATTTTCTGGGCAGCTCCTGGTCTTCCACAGTCTGTAATGGATCACATCTATTTTCAGTTGATTCACGTTCTCTTAGTGCTTGAATCTGTAGAAGTAATTCCTTGTTTTTTCTTCTCTGATCAGCCAATTGAAGATTAGAGTTTATGATGAATTTATTACGGGAATCCCACATTGGTGAAAAAATCTTCACTGTGCTCTGTAAGGGTAAAAGGAATGAAGTGTTAAATAAATCTAATTTCTAGACAAATTTAGCACTTTAATTAAATAAGAGCACAATGTTTTAAGTTTACAACAACATTAATGAATTACATTTGTATAGCATCTTTCACGTCAGTTTATTAAATTAGATCAGGGTCATCCAACAGGCTGCCCTCAGCCAGGCAGATGATTTAATCCGGCCCGAGACCATTTCGAACTTTGGGCCTTGCGCTCCCTCCCTGGTGAACCGTCCTCTCACGGCAGCGGCAGGAGCCGATAGTCGAGAGGATGCAGGGCGCAGAGTGGAGATAATGCCGGCTGTTGCGGCAATGTGTCAGGAAGTCATTCCTGACCTGAGGGGAAAGCAAGTGCTTATCAACCGCGTCCTTACCAACCTCCGGCTTCTGCCATGTGAGGATGGTTCTGGGATGGAGGTAAAAGACGGCCCCAAATTGGAAATGGTCTCCGGCCAGATGAAATGATTGATCGACAGAGAGGAGGAGATCGAGAGAATAGAAGTTAGGGGGGGGGGAGAGAGAAAGAAACGGGGGTGGGGGGGGCAGAGAGAGAGAGTGATTGAGGGAGTGAGAGGGGGAGTGTGTGGGCAAGAGGGGAAGTGAGGGTGTGTGAGAGGGAAAGGGGGAGAAAATGATTGAGAGAGATGGGAAAGTATTAGCGAGAGAGAGAGAGTGATTTGAGAGAGACAGAGAGAGAGAAAAATGAGGTCAATGTTTTGTGGTTGGTTCATTGTCAGGACAGACAATCGGAAAAACTCCCTCCTCCCCAGTGAGAAACTCTATGTACTTCATTTACCCCACCCTCCCATACCACCTCCTAACTGACCATTCCCTTTGCCCAGCAAACACCTACTTGCCTCACCCCATCTGCCCCACAATTGCCATTTTGCCCTTGCTCTCTGGAGCTCCATTCCCAGAGACCCTCTAACCTGCTCCCTCCCCTTTTTCAAAGCACGTCAAGTCCTAACTTTTCCCCAAAACACCCCCATCGACTCCCACCCCCAGTTACACCGCCACTGCTGGTTGGATGCCCAGCCGGCAGTGTTGAGACATCCTTCTGACATGAAAAGGGCGTTGTGTAAGCAAAACACAAAAATATTGCTTATGTGGTCCACAGACGTTTTTCAAATGGGGCATCTGTCCGTTGGCAGCCAAAAGGTTGGATCAGCCTGAGCCTGCTAGTTTTATTTGTTGAATGTAATTTTTTTTAAAACTCACGCCCACCTTTAACTGTAATTCTTGCAGGAATCCAGTCAAGCACAGCATTAGTGTAGAATCTCTAGTTCCACTGACTATGTTCTTATATTCAGTGCATCTATTCCCTGGTGTCCTGGCCAACAAGCCCCCAAACAAAATTGGTCATTCACTTCATAATAATAATCCTTGCATTTGACATCTTCTAGACGTCCCAAAGCACTTCACAGAATATATATTGTAAAGTGAATTGACTGTATATTTGTGGGCGAATGCGGCAGCCAATTGCTCACAGCAGTGTCCCACAAACAGTCGTAGATTGAAAATGACCAATTTATTATTGTTTTGTTTTTTTGGAGGGATTATTATTCATGGCTGTTTCTGGGATTTCGCTGTGCACAAATTGGTTGCTGCAAATATACGATTGTCTCTGTGACGGTACGCTTATTGCCCAATACATTCATCTACAAATACATAATCACTGCTACACTTCTTAGGAAATCGCTTTGACCCAGCTCGATAATGTGGTGAGGCAGGATACCAAATTCAAGGGTTATTAAAAGCTCAATAAGAGATCAAACCTAAGGAAGGCTTTGGTAGTGTAATGCTGGTGAATTGACGTTGGAACCTTTTTTTGTCAGCTGCCAAGGTGGTCAGACACCTGTGGAATTCCAACACCATGCTAACAGTATTCAAACCAGAGTCCATATATGCACGTCACCCATACATGGATATTTCAGTCTGTTGGGAATGTCCACTCTCAGCTCTTAAAAGGATTTTTCCCACGATTCAATGCAGGATGCATAATGGAGGGTAGGGGAGCGGCGTCACGAGTTAGGAGATGATTAATGCGAGTAGTGCAAAGAAATCTAAGTGGTTTTGATAGGAAACTGAATGGAAAATGGATGGATGTATGACTGGCCATTATACGATTTATAAAGATAAGACTTATGTTAGTTCTCCGGGACGCTATCCCGTGTGAAAGGCGCTGTATAAATGCAAATTGTTGTTGTAGAACGATCCTATTCCTATTCTGAATTTAGGTTCAGAAAATATTTCATGTTTAAATTAAAACAATGTAAAGATGACCAAGAGTGATCATTAAATGTTTTTCATTATTTTTAGCTTGTTCAATTTTTTTTAGGATTGGATGCAACACTGAATTTTTTTTTAAAAAAAGCTACTTACCAGGACTGTTTTCTTCAGCAGCTCAGTTTCCTCCTGTAGTCTCTTGTTTTCATGTTTGATTCTTTCAATTGTGCTGGATATATTTCCACTTGAATGATTTGAACTGTGATTCAGAAGTTCCTTTCGGGCATTGATCTCAAATTGTAATTCAGTTTCAGTGATGGTCAGATAGTTTTGATATTTTGAGTCCAATTCAGACAAATTCTGTTTGGTTTCCTGAACAAAAGATTAGACAGAATGGCATTTGCCACGTGAGGAGCTTTTTTAAAATATGTAAAGAACATTGCCAAGTACAACTCTTCCTATCGGGCCTCTTTGTTGGCAAATATTTTATAGTATTTTGAGCAAGAAAAAGCTTGACCAAAGTTACCAACTTGAAATAGACAGAGATGATCAAGATCAAACATCAAATACCCATCAAACTATTCACATTGTACTTTTAGCATAAACACCAGCAACTCCTGGTGTTGAGGCATGTTTTCGTGTCTGGCACATGCGGAAACCCATCAACTAAGAATATCCATGGAAATTTCCCTGTGTCTGAAATGAAATGCACACTCTCTTCCTGGAGGGACACCCTGATTTACCCAAGTCCAAGGAGTGTTCAGTGCAGGTTAGCAAGAGCCGGAGCTTGGGAACTCCACAGTGCGTATTGAGATACTGCTGGAGTTTAAACAGATAAAGCTAATATATCTTGCCACTGAGAGCAGTGTCTGGTAAGCTTGTCACTGCTTGTCCAGCGAGGACTACTCTATCAAGCTTAACAGGTGTTGAATAGGAAGAATCTCTCCTTCCAGTGGATGGTTTGCCCTCTAAATTCTGCCAATGGCCAGCCTGTCACCATCAGTGCCTGAGAGGATTGCAAACCCACGTGGTTCAAAGTGAGATGACCAGACAACTAAAAAAAGTCAGAGGGATTGACTTGATTCCGATCTTCCAGCAAAGCTCCAAAAAGACTTCACTTGCTCCCCTCCCACCCAGAGAATCCAATCACACCAGAAAATAGAACCACCCAACATTGATCTGTTCTAAATTAAAATATTAATCACGGAATCTGAATGACTGTCAATAGATTTTATTTTATTTTGATGGAAACAGAGCTTAAGCCATTAAAAAGGGCGTCTGTTTTAGCACAATTGTATTTAATTGCAAAATATCCTTGTACTGAATATTGACAGTGTTCATTAACTGTATCAGAAGCTACTAGGACAGTGCTTCGATATTGGTTTACAAGTCCAGGAACAATGAGGGCAGAGAAATGCCTAGCATCTCACCACAAGGCAGCAAAGAATCTAAACCTTGGAAAGCACACCATGCAAGCCATGATAATATGGGCAACACGGTTGCCTGGATCCGATATATTTGACGCACAAAATGACCAACTTCTGGGAGGTCAGTCAGGAAATCAGTTCGCCGATGATGTCACATCGCTTGCTGAATATTTCCTGAGAAAGCAGGTATTGATGGTCACTTCACACAGTGATATCAGTGACAACCCATAACGCAGCCATTTTTAACATGGGAAATAGGCACTAGAAGCATCTTTTTCTGGTTTAGCACAGGTTGACCTGTGTATTTTTAGTTTTTATGAATTCTTAAGCTCAAATTGCCCAAAATACAACAGTCTTCAATGGTTGGTCTTAGAAGGATGCACTTTGACAAGTGTAGGCCATTCAGCCCCTTGAGCCTGTTCCACCATTCTATAAGATCATGACTTATCTGTACCTCAAGTCCAATTATCCATCCTTGCCCCATATCCCTTGATACGCTTACTTAAATTCATCTCAGTCTTCAAAATTTTAATGGATCCAGCATCCACAACCTTTTGGGGGAGATTTCCACTGCCCTGTTGTGAAAAATTGCCTCTGGTTTCACTCCTAAATGGCCTAGCTGTAATTTTAAGATTGTACCCTCTTGTTCTGGATTCCCCCACCAGATGAAATAGTTTCTCTGCAGCTAACCTATCAAATCCCTTTATTATTTTAACAATCTTAATTAGATCATCCTTCAACTTTCTAAACTCATGGGATTGTGTTGTTGGATGCAGCATTAAGTGTTGCAAACTTTCAAATGAAAAATTTGTATCACATCAATCAAATCTTGAACTAACAGCATTTTCACTCGCTGAACAATTTGTTTTTCTGATTGGAACTTGCAGCTTGCTGACTCTCCTATACAGTGCAGGGGATGTGCTGCATTGTTGGAGGTGATGTCATTTGGTTTAGATGGTAAGCCGATGCCCATCAGCCTGTTCAGGTGGACATTAAAGATCCCATTACATGATTTGAAAAGAGAAGGCGTTTCTCCCAGTGATCTGGCCAATAATCCTAAATAATTCATTTCATGGCTGATTGTGGGACATTGCTGTGCTCAAGTCAACTACCTTGTTCACCCACAAAACACACAGTCAATGCACGTTACAGAAAATCTTCAAAGGCCCTTTAGAAATGTAAGGTTTATTATTATTTTTATTATTTTTATCCAATTCAATGCCCACCTGCAATTGTTGTTCTTTATTTTCAAGTAAGCTGGAAAGTCTTCTTATCTCCGAGTTTCTTTCTTCACAGTCTGGCAAGGGTAGATTAGCTGAATCAGAATTCAGAGCCCGTAGCTGTACAAGCAGTTCTTTTTGCTCCCTGTGCTCTTTTACTAGATCTGCATCAATTTTGGTGATGAGCGTCACAAATTTATTTTGATGATAAGGCACGGTGCTTAGACTAATCTATTAGGGAAGCAAAAGTTGGAATAAAAGTATAGTTGTACAGTGAACAGTATAAATTGCCATTATATGTGCAACATTTATTTCTGTAAAAATTTCCATTTTCCATACATAAGTTTTATAGATAAAGCAAAGACTAAAGTAATCTTATCCAACCTTATCAATCTTTTTGAAGAAGTAACAGAGAAATGCAGTGGACGTGGAGTGTATAGATCCTCAGTAAGAATAAAGGGCAAAAAGTAGGAAATGGTGTTCCAGACAGATATGTATCAGGATCATGCACATTATTCACTATTTACATACATGATTTAGACCCGGTTACAGAAAATATATGGATCTATAGTTGCGTGAAGCACTTTGAGATGTCCCCCCAATGCGAAAGACATTGTTGGTGTCAAAACTTGCAGAGGTGTGTGGGTGAGGGTGGGAGTGCTACAGCGAATAACGAGGACTTCAAAAAGTTGCAGGAAGAAAACTAGGATAACAAAAAGATGCTATAGATTCTATGTAATTGTCTTAAAACTAAAAGGAAAATATAATACATCATTGACTACATATTGAAGGGGAGTTTCAGGGCTTTGGTCGAAAGCTCACCAGAAACAGAGTGCTGGAGACAAAGCAAATCAAGTTTGTTTTCAGAGCAAGAGGGTTTGCTCATTTGAGAGGGCGAGCACGATGAGCGGTGCTGGAACTATATGGCGCGTGAGACAGAAGTCTCTTCCTTATTTTTTTTCCATGTTAAAATAGGGTGTCCGGGTCTGGCCTCCTCCTCATCCCCCGAGTTCTCTGCTCCACCCTTGGCGGCCACTATACCCCGAGGCTCTGGAACTGCCTTCCTCACTCCCTCTCTTTCCATTTTCAGGTATCTTTCTTTTCGACCGCGCCTTTGGTCACCTTCCTCCCCCTCCCCCCGGCTCCGCCCCGGGATCCATTACTGTAAAGTGCTCTGAGACACCATCCGACGTGGAGGGCACTATATAAATCCAAGTTGTTGTTGTTGCATGCATACATAAGGATCCAATCCATTATCCAACAATAGAACAATAAATACAGGCAATTAAGAGGCAATTGATGCAGCATACGAGTCATGTATATGGCACCTCCCTGCTTTCAAAAGATAACATAACATTATTTTGAGGACACTGTTTCTTCTTTATTTAGAACTTTCAAGCATAAAACAGAGTGAGGAAAAATAGTAAAAAGTGCCTGGCACACAGTTCCTTTAAGAAAGTTTAAGCAGTTAAATTGCTTGAAAACAAATTGATAGGAGCACCATAAATATGTTTATGTAAGTTACCGTAAATTTCAAACTCCATGTCTGATATTGTTCATGTAGCTCCAAATTTTCTCTCTGTAATTCTTCAATAGTTTTTGACAGGGTTACATTTTCAGTTGCTTCAGATAGAAATCCAGCGAGTAGATCTCTCCATTTCTCTCTCTCTTGTGAAAGTTCTTTATCAGAATTGGAAAGTCGGATGCTGTACTTGCTTTTTATTTCTACAAAATCCTGGGTGGTGCTCTGGATTAAACAGGAAGACTCTCTCGTAAGAAAAATTGCCAGTGAATAATATGAATACAACATTCAGAAATACATCGTCATGGTTTTTGTCAATAGAAGAACTCCACAAGTTACTCTGGTGGTAGCAAGACAGTCAGTGGTTGAAAGGAATCTATTCCTTTTTTTAATAATAAAACAGATGTGATGATTTAGTTTTTACAAAGAATTTACAAAGATCGTACAGCAGAGAAATAGGTAATTCAGCCCAACTACAGAGGTCTACACACACTCCTTCCTCCCTCCCATACTCTTCCCCCTCATGTGAAAGTCCAGCTTCACTTCCTCTATGATTCAACCAATTCCAACTTATTCAGGGTGCTGATATTTTGCTGAAGAGAATAAAGCTGCTCCTTTAGTTCCTTTATTACAATCTTGTTTCTTGCCTCAGTCACTGTACTCTGATCTGGATTTAAATGCTCATTTTTCAGGACACGATTTCCACATCCATCTTCGTATTGTATAGTTTTGTCTTGGGTTTACTTCTTCAATTCCATTGACATTTTTATGCAACTCTAACAGTGAGCGATAAGTCAATGAACACCCCGAAATCCGTTTCAGCTTCCTTCCTGGCAACTTTTACCCATCCTTGGAGAACATGGCTTTCCTATTCTGACTTCAGGTATTCATCTGTAATAAACTTAATTTGCCAATTAGCAAATTACACCCTATCAAGTTCTCCTCGTAAATCTTTGTTGCCTCCACTCATTCTAGTATCCCCAACTTTGTGTCATCTGCACTTAACTAGTTTTCTCTGGGTCTGCAAATCCAGGTCAATGACATGTATACAAGGAACAGGAGGGGCCCCATTACAGACCCCTCAGGCACCCCAACAAGTGACTCCTTGTTGCACAACAATATCAGTGACATCCTAAACAACTGGAAGTCAGACATTTTGGTGTGGGAGCTGAACGGCATGCTGGAGGAGCGCTGGTTGGCAGCACAGATGAATATTGAATGGGGCTGCACCCCAACCACATTATAACTAGATCAGTATTACAAAGAAGCATATTAAAATAAAGTTGCACTGTATAACCAACAAGCACAATATATGTGCAATGTATAGAACACACCTGAAGGAGCAGCTCTTTTTCCTGTAGATGGCACGAAAGATCTGTTTCAATTCCATTATTTTCCGACTGACTCGTTTCACTGTCTACCAGCCTCTGTTTCAAAGTAGCAATTTGTTTTTCTAAAACAGAAACTAGTTCTGCTTGTTCTTGGTTTCTTCTTTCTGTAGTTACAACCTGTTAATTAAACATTTTCCATGTTTAGTATGTTGCTTAAAAAATTACTTTTTAAAAAAAACATTATACCCTAATAATATTTCAAAACAGCTTTAATTCTTTCCATGCAACAATTTTCAAAATTGTAGTTGCATTGACAGTCAAGTTAACTTCTGCATTATTGAAACATGGTGGAAAGTTTTCCAATATACATGTGGAGTTCTGTAGATTAGTGGTTAGAGCACTCGCATCGCAAGTGAGAGGACGCGGGTTCCAGGCCAGAATGTTGGGCAAGTTGTTTTACTCCACACGCCTCTGTTCACCTAGCAGTAAGTAGGAACCCGGTTGTTAGTCGATTGACGGAACACTTGTCCAGGAGTAATAATCCTTTCGATACACTTAAAAAATTGCAACTACAATTTTGAAAATGGTTACTGAATCCATGACTTTCGTGAGACACTGCTGTCGTTTTGTTCGACCCTGAGCTGTCCTTTCTCCCTCACATCCGCACCACAACTGGCACCGCCTTCCATCACCTCCGGAATATCGCCAGACTACGCCATTACCTCACCCCTCACGCTGCTGAAACCCTGGTTCACGCCTTTGTCACCTCAAGGCTGGACTATGGGAACTCTCTCCTCGCCGGCCTTCCCGGCACCTCCCTCCACAAGCTGCAGGTCATTCAGAACTCTGCAGCTCGTGTACTGTCCCGCACCAGGCTTCGCGACCACATCACTCCCACCCTCGCTCGCCTCCACTGGCTCCCCATCCCCCAGAGGATTGATTTCAAGATCCTCATCCTCACCTACAAGGCCATTCACGGCCTTGCTCCCTCCTACCTCTCCAACCTACTATCCCCCTACCTACCTGCCCGTACCCTCCGTTCCTCTGGCTCTGGTCTACTCCACGTACCCCGCCCCAACCGCCCTACTATCGGTGGTCGGGCCTTCAGCCTCTCAGCCCCCAGGCTCTGGAACTCCATCCCCAGTGCCTTCGCCGCCTCCTCCCTTTCCTCCTTCAAGGCCGGTCTCAAAACCTTTCTCTTTGACCGAGCCTTCAGCTCCCCTCTCGACTCTCTTCCTCCTCCTCGCTCCCTCCCCTCACCCTGACCATTTGCCCCCTCCTCTCTCCCTCCCTTCCCTCCCCTCACCCTGACCATTTCCCCCCTGCTCGGGTCATGACCCAACTGTGCAGCGCCTTGGGACGTCCTCCTGACGTGAAAGGCGCTCTATAAATGGAATCTTGTTGTTGTTGTTGTCGTGTTTCAACCCCCCAAAAAATATAATCAATACACTTCACAATATATTCTGTGAAGCGCTATGACACATTTCGAATACGTGATAAAGTGCTATATCAAATGCAAGGATTATTATTAACAGCTAGTAAAACTCATTGCGTCAGCTCTAAAATTGGAAAGAAACCTGAAGCTACAACACAAGTTTCCAATCTTTCTCATTATTCAATGCTCTGCATTGCATTATATCATTCAGGTTGTTCAATACCACCCATAGATAGGTTTCCAACAGCAATAACACTTGATTTTCAACAATACATTTCTCGCGTTTCGCCAAACTTTCAGCTTCAAGAGTTTGTAAAAATGGCCATTTTACCTTAATTCCACCATCTAACCTTTACCATCATCCTCCACCCCCCAAGGATGTCCCTTTCAGTGGGCATGAAGAATCCAGTAAAGTACAACCAATGAATACACAATTCAAGCTCTCCTCTTTTAAAATGACTTGTATACATCATAGGACTCACGTAACTTCCCAATTAAATTGGGTTATAACTGAGATGCTTGGATCGTATATTTACCCCAACTGTTCCACGTAAATCTTTTGACACTGAGCAGAACTCAAAGAGCCGTCAGACAGTGCTGCGTTAAATACAAGTTTCCCCAAATTGTTGACCGGTGTCTTCCAGTCAGATTATCTTCAGCAAATACACACACACTGACAAAAGAAAATCTTGCTGAATGGATGAAATCAGTTATTGAAATTAATCATTTATCTTTCCCAAAAAGTAGCCAAAACTAGGAATCTACTACATACCATTTCAACCTTTTCACACAGAGTCTTCTCCATTGCATCTCTCTGCGATTGAACACTTTCCAGTTTGTGCTGCAGTTCATCTTTCTCCAGCACCACAGATGATTTTGCATTCTCCAGTTGCTGGACTTGATGGTTGAATTCCTGATCCAGTATTTGTGCCTTGGAAACGTTATTGATCAGCTCACACCTTAGTTGTTCAACCTCGATCAGTAAGTGGTCACGTTGAGATACTACCTGCTGAAGTTCATTTTTGCACTCCAGTGTCTATCAGAAAAAAGCATAAGGTTTTACATGAAAATAACAATATTTAATTGACCAGAGGGTATCCAGGAATAACTGTAGATAAAAGACCATGTGAACAAGACCAATGAGCTCCAGCTGCTTGAAACCCATATGAAGATTAAGTGGTGATTAATTCTAAATCTCACCCCCAGAGAAGTATTTGTTCAAAGTATTTATACGGCACAAAACTCTCTCAGGTACGGAACCCATCTTCTAGTTGTTGGGTTCTGGAGGAACAGCATCACCTCCAGGGAGATGATGAACCCATGGGCAAGTGTTTCAGCAGTGTTTGGGTAAGGTATGGGTATAAGGTATAGTCAGTTAGAGGGATAGGCAACAAGACAAATCAACAGAACGATTGAAACCCCTAGTTCTCTTTCAGCTTCCTTCCTGGCAAGTTTTATCTCATCTATGGAGGGCACGGCTTTCCTATTCAGTGTCATCTGCAGTTTAACTACTGTTCTCTGGGTCTGCAAATCCAGGTCATTGACATGTATACAAGGAACATGAGGGGTCCCAGTACAGACCCCTCAGCACCCAACAAGTAACTAACTCCTGTGTGCTGCACAACACGAGTGACATCTAAACAACTGGAAGTCAGACATTTTGGTGTGTGAGCTGAACGGCATGCTGGAGGAGCGCTGGTTGGCAGCGCAGATGCGTATCGAATGGGATTGCACCCTAACCACGTTATAACTGCAGCTCTTTTTCCTGTAGATGGCACGAAAGATCTGTTTCAATTCCATTATTTTCCAACTGACTCGTTTCACTGTCTACCAGCCTCTGTTTCAAAGTAGCAATTTGTTTTTCTAAAACAGAAACTAGTTCTGCTTGTTCTTGGTTTCTCCTTTCTGCAGTTACAACCTGTTAATTAAACATTTTCTGTCTTCAGTAATTTTGCTTAAAAAGTTACTTTCTTTAAAAAACATTATACCTAATAACATTTCAAAACATAGCTTTAATTCTTTCCATGCTCTAAAATTGGAAAGAAACCTGAGGCTACAACACAAGTTTCCAATATTTCTCATTCTTCAATGCTGTGCATTGCATTATATCATTCAGGTTGTTCAATTCCACCCATAGATAGGTTTCCAACAGCAATAACACTTGATTTTCAACAATACATTTCTCGCGTTTTGCCAAACTTTCAGCTTCAATGGCCATATTCATTATAGGAGCAGCAGATTCAAGAGTTGGCAAAAATAGCCTTTTTACCTTCATTCAACAAATAACATTTTACCTTCATCCACTCCCTAAAGATGTCCCTCTCAGTGGGTATGAAGAATCCAGTACAGTAATACCAAAGAATACACAATTCAAGCTCTCCTCTTCTAAAATGACTTGTGTACATCACAAGACCCAGGTAACTTCCCAATTCACTCGGGTTATAACTGAGATGCTTGGATGACGTATTACGTCATCTCTAACTTGTGACTAAATATTTTGACAATAACCAAGCAGAACTCAAAGACCTGTGTTAAATACAAAAGTTTCCCCAATTCTTTGGCAGGTGTCTTCCAGCCAGAATATCTTCAGCAAACACACAACAACAACAACAACAACAACAACAAGATTCCATTTATAGAGCGCCTTTCACGTCAGGAGGACGTCCCAAGGCGCTGCACAGTTGGGTCATGACCGAGCAGGGGGGAAATGGTCAGGGTGAGGGGAGGGAAGGGAGGGAGAGAGGAGGGGGGAAATGGTCAGGGTGAGGGGAGGGAAGGGAGGGAGCGAGGAGGAGGAAGAGAGTCGAGAGGGGAGCTGAAGGCTCGGTCAAACACACACACTGACAAAAGAAAATCTTGCTGAATGGATGAAATCAGTTATTGAAATTAATCACTTATCTTTACCAAAAAGTAGCCAAAACTAGGAATTTACTACATACCATTTCAACCTTTTCACACAGAGTCTTCTCCATTGCATCTCTCTGAGATTGAACACTTTCCAGTTTGTGCTGCAGTTCATCTTTCTCCAGCACCACAGATGATTTTGCATTCTCCAGTTGCTGGACTTGATGGTTGAATTCCTGATCCAGTATTTGTGCCTTGGAAATGTTAGTTATCAGCTCACGCCTTTGTTGTTCAACCTCAATCAGTAAGTGGTCACGTTGAGATACTACCTGTTGAAGTTCTTTTTTGCACTCCAGTGTCTATCAGAAAAACATAAGGTTTTACATGAAAATAACAATACTTGATTGACCAGAGTGTATCCAGGAATAACTGTAGATAAAAGATCATATCAGCAGGACCACATGGGCTCCAGCTGCTTGAAACTCGTATGACAGGTAAGCGGGGATAATTCTAAATTCCATCCTCAGAAGAAATTGTTCAAAGTATTTACATGGCACAACACTCTCTCAGGCATGGAACCCATCTTCTGGCTGTTTTGGGCTGTGAATAAGTGGAAGAGCAGAAAAATACATCACTTACTTTTTGCTTCTCTTCGTTTATTGTGTGTTCCTTTTCTGACAGATATTGTTTCAGTTCAATTTCATTTTTCTGCTTTACTTTTAGTTCTTCTTGTAGATTTCTCATCTCTGCCTGATTCTCCACAGCCTGCAAAAGAGTGAATATGAGTTGCCTATTGTAACAAAAGTAAGGTACAGTTTTAAACAACATTTATATAGCGCCACTCACACAGGGTAGTATCCCAGAGCGCTTGAGAGTGACGGTGATTGTTATCGAGCCGGGTGAATGGACCTTAGACACCTTTGAGGAGTAAGGTCTTGAGGTGCGACCTGAAGATCGGGAAGGATGGGGCAAGAGTGCAGGATAGAGGAAGCATGTTCCAGAGTTTGAGGGAGTAGTGGCTGAACTTGCGGCAACCAATAGTGGAACGGAGGGCATGGGAGGAGGCCAGAGCTAGTCGAGTGGAGGTAAAGGGTAGGGAGTTGTGGAGTTATGCAGGTCAGAGAGGCAAGCAGATGCTACAGCATGAACCGATTTGGTCGAGTTTTAGGATTTTGAAATCTATCCATTCAGTGATTGGGAGCTAGTGGAGTCTGGCTAGAACTGGTGTGATAGGGTAGTGTTGAATGCGCGTAAGAATATAGACAGCAGAGTTTTTAAATTAACCCGATCTTTGGGATACTGGAGCTGGGGAAACTCGCGAGGAGGGTGTTGGAGTAGTCAAGCCGGAAAGTGACGAATGCATGGACGAGTGTTTCAGTAGTGCTTGGGGTAAGGAATTGTTGGAGGTCGGCAATGTGCTGGAGGTGGAGGAAAGCGGTCCTGTAGGAAGGACAGCTGTGGGTCGAACTTGATGCATAGTTTGGTTCGGTGAGTCAGAAGGATGGGCAACAAGACAAACAAGACGATTAAACACACAATATGTTGCACCATTTGATAAAGCAAATCTGCACCTGCAAATGTAGATTACTCCATTACAATAGGTCACCTATCCACCTGGAGTGATGTTACTGGAAAATTTGTTCATTAAGACCTTTCCTTTCCTAAAACTCTAAAATGTGAGCTGCACAGTGCCTCGGGATGCCAAAATGGACAAAGTAGAAAATAAACTTTTGTTCAGTTTGGTATGGTGGGAAAAGATCGAATTGAAAGAGTATAATTTTCTTAAGAAAAATAATGATCCAATAGCTAGAACTCATGCAGTCCAGGCTGACATACCAGTGGAGAGCTGGGAAAAGCGATGCATTGTGAGAGGTGCCGTCATTCAGATGAGACATTAAATCAATGTTTTCTCTGCCTGTTCAGGTGGACATTAAAGATAGTATAGCACTATTCGAAAAGAGAAAGGGAGTTTTGTCCCCAATGACTCAGCCAACAATCCTGCAGACAGAATTGGTCAATCATTTCATGGTTGTTTGTGAGACATTGCTGTGCTGCTTCACCCACAATATACCCAGTCACTAAATACTGTCCAGTATTTCCTGTAAAGTGCTTTGAGACGTGCTCCCAATGCAAGAAGTGCTAAATCAGCTGTAAGGATTATTTATTTATCTAACTTCTGTTCCGGGAAATTCAAGCTTATTGTGGGGAATTAAACCGCTTCAATTTACCATCTCAATACTCTCTTGGAGATCACACTTCATTTGTTCACTCTCAGTTTGAAGGCTTGCTCGTTCTTGCTGTAGCTGCTTCTTCTCGGTCCTCAGGGTGTTCATGTTCTGCTGAAGAGAATAAAGCTGCTCCTTGAGTTCCTTTACTTCAATCTCATTTCTTGCCTCAATCACTGTACTCTGATCTGGATTTAAACACTCATTTTCCAGGACATGATTTCCACATCCATCTTGGTATCGTATCTCCTAAATAGTTGTACAGACATATGATAAATCCTTTGATCACAAGATGGGTTTCAATGAAGATAGTTTGGCCCATTTAATCTCACCCTCCCAAAATACTTATGTTTCTGACTTCCCATTACAGCTTCAAGCTGCTTTTTAAACTAAATCAGATTTCTAGGATCCAGGTAACTTCCAAATTCAATTGGGGTATAACTGAAATGCTTTGATGGTGTATTATGTCAACTCTGACTTGTCACTGTAGATTTTTTTACACTAACTGACCAGCACTCAAAGACCTGTCAGACTGGTGCTGTGTTAAATACAAGTCTCCCCAATTCCTTGGTAGGTGTCTACCAGTCAGAATATCTTCAGTAAATACACACTCGCCGACAAAAGAAAATCTTGCTGAATGGGTGAAATCAGTTATCGAACTTAATCACTTATCTATCCCAAAAAGTAGCGTAAACTAGGAATCTACTACATACCATTTCACACAGAGTCTTCTCCATTGCATCTCTCTGCGATTGAACACTTTCCAGTTTGTGCTGCAGTTCATCTTTCTCCAGCACCACAGATGATTTTGCATTCTCCAGTTGCTGGACTTGATGGTTGAATTCCTGATCCAGTATTTGTGCCTTGGAAATGTTATTGATCAGCTCACGCCTTAGTTGTTCAACCTCGATCAGTAAGTGGTCACGTTGAGATACTACCTGCTGAAGTTCATTTTTGCACCCGAGTGTCTATCAGAAAAAACATAAGGTTTTGCATGAAAATAACAATAACGGCTCCACTTCCTTGAAACCCATATGAGGATTAAGTGGCGATTAATTCTAAATCCCATCCTCAGAAGTAATTGTTCAAATCATTTATATGGCACAAAACTCAGTTATGGAACCCGTCTTCTGGCTGTGAGTAAGTGAAAGAGCAGAAAAACACATCACTTACCTTTTGTTTCTCTTTGTTTATTGTGTGGTCCTTTTCTGACAGACTTTGCTTCAGTTCAATTTCATTTTTCTGATTTACTTTTAGCTCTTCTTGTAGATTTCTCATCTCTGCCTGATTCTCCACAGCCTGCAAAAGTGAATATCAGTTGCCTCTTGCAACAAAAGTAAGGTCGTTTTAAGCCACATTTCTATAACATCCCTCATGCAGGGTAGCGTCCTCGAAAGCTTGACTGTGACGGTGATTAACTCTGACCTGGGGGAAGGGACCTTAGACATGGTTGAAGAGGAAGGTCTTCAGGTGTGACCTGAAGACTGAGAAGGATGGGGAAAGGCAGAGGGATAGAAGGAGCATGTCCTAGAATCTCGGGGCACATGGCTGAAAGTGCAGCCACCGATGGCTAGATAATTGACATCCTTTGAACTCATGCAGTCCAGGCTGACATACCAGCCAAGATCTGGGAAAGCGCTGCATTGGTGCCGTCATTTGGATGAGACATTAAATCGAGGTCTCCTCTGCCTGTTAAAGATAGTATAGCACTATTCAAAAAGAGAAAGGGAGTTTCTCCCAATGACTTTGCCAACAATCCTCCAGACAGAATTGGTCAATCATTTCATGGTTGTTTGTGGGACATTGCAGTGCTTGCTTCACCCACAAAATACCCCATCACTAAACACTGTCCAGTATTTCCTGTAAAGTGATTTGAGACGTGCTCCCAAGCCAAAAAATGCTAAATTAGCTGTAAGGATTATTTATTTATTTTACTTTTGTTCCGGGAAATTCAAGGTTATTGTGGGGAATTAAACCGCTTCAATTTACCATCTCAATACTCTCTTGGAGATCACACTTCATTTGTTCACTCTCAGTTTGAAGGCTTGCTCGTTCTTGCTGTAACTGCTCCTTCTCGGTCCTCAGGGTGTTCATGTTCTGCTGAAGAGAATAAAGCTGCTCCTTGAGTTCCTTTACTTCAATCTCATTTCTTGCCTCAATCACTGTACTCTGATCTGGATTTAAACACTGATTTTCCAGGACATGATTTCCACATCCATCTTGGTATCGTATCTCCTAAATAGTTGTACAGACATATGATAAATCCTTTGATCACAAGATGGGTTTCAATGAAGATAGTTTGGCCCATTTAATCTCACCCTCCCAAAATACTTATGTTTCTGACTTCCCATTACAGCTTCAAGCTGCTTTTTAAACTAAATCAGATTTCTGGGATCCAGGTAACTTCCAAATTCAATTGGGGTATAACTGAAATGCTTTGATGGTGTATTATGTCAACTCTGACTTGTCACTGTAGATTTTTTTTACACTAACTGACCAGCACTCAAAGACCTGTCAGACTGGTGCTGTGTTAAATACAAGTCTCCCCAATTCCTTGGTAGGTGTCTACCAGTCAGAATATCTTCAGTAAATACACACTCGCCGACAAAAGAAAATCTTGCTGAATGGGTGAAATCAGTTATCGAACTTAATCACTTATCTATCCCAAAAAGTAGCGTAAACTAGGAATCTACTACATACCATTTCACACAGAGTCTTCTCCATTGCATCTCTCTGCGATTGAACACTTTCCAGTTTGTGCTGCAGTTCATCTTTCTCCAGCACCACAGATGATTTTGCATTCTCCAGTTGCTGGACTTGATGGTTGAATTCCTGATCCAGTATTTGTGCCTTGGAAATGTTATTGATCAGCTCACGCCTTAGTTGTTCAACCTCGATCAGTAAGTGGTCACGTTGAGATACTACCTGCTGAAGTTCATTTTTGCACCCGAGTGTCTAACAGAAAAAACATAAGGTTTTGCATGAAAATAACAATAACGGCTCCACTTCCTTGAAACCCATATGAGGATTAAGTGGTGATTAATTCTAAATCCCATCCTCAGAAGTAATTGTTCAAATCATTTATATGGCACAAAACTCAGTTATGGAACCCGTCTTCTGGCTGTGAGTAAGTGAAAGAGCAGAAAAACACATCACTTACCTTTTGTTTCTCTTTGTTTATTGTGTGGTCCTTTTCTGACAGACTTTGCTTCAGTTCAATTTCATTTTTCTGATTTACTTTTAGCTCTTCTTGTAGATTTCTCATCTCTGCCTGATTCTCCACAGCCTGCAAAAGTGAATATCAGTTGCCTCTTGCAACAAAAGTAAGGTCGTTTTAAGCCACATTTCTATAACATCCCTCATGCAGGGTAGCGTCCTCGAAAGCTTGACTGTGACGGTGATTAACTCTGACCTGGGGGAAGGGACCTTAGACATGGTTGAAGAGGAAGGTCTTCAGGTGTGACCTGAAGACTGAGAAGGATGGGGAAAGGCAGAGGGATAGAAGGAGCATGTCCTAGAATCTCGGGGTACATGGCTGAAAGTGCAGCCACCGATGGCTAGATAATTGACATCCTTTGAACTCATGCAGTCCAGGCTGACATACCAGCCAAGATCTGGGAAAGCGCTGCATTGGTGCCGTCATTTGGATGAGACATTAAATCGAGGTCTCCTCTGCCTGTTAAAGATAGTATAGCACTATTCAAAAAGAGAAAGGGAGTTTCTCCCAATGACTTTGCCAACAATCCTCCAGACAGAATTGGTCAATCATTTCATGGTTGTTTGTGGGACATTGCAGTGCTTGCTTCACCCACAAAATACCCCATCACTAAACACTGTCCAGTATTTCCTGTAAAGTGATTTGAGACGTGCTCCCAAGCCAAAAAATGCTAAATTAGCTGTAAGGATTATTTATTTATTTTACTTTTGTTCCGGGAAATTCAAGGTTATTGTGGGGAATTAAACCGCTTCAATTTACCATCTCAATACTCTCTTGGAGATCACACTTCATTTGTTCACTCTCAGTTTGAAGGCTTGCTCGTTCTTGCTGTAACTGCTCCTTCTCGGTCCTCAGGGTGTTCATGTTCTGCTGAAGAGAATAAAGCTGCTCCTTGAGTTCCTTTACTTCAATCTCATTTCTTGCCTCAATCACTGTACTCTGATCTGGATTTAAACACTCATTTTCCAGGACATGATTTCCACATCCATCTTGGTATCGTATCTCCTAAATAGTTGTACAGACATATGATAAATCCTTTGATCACAAGATGGGTTTCAATGAAGATAGTTTGGCCCATTTAATCTCACCCTCCCAAAATACTTATGTTTCTGACTTCCCATTACAGCTTCAAGCTGCTTTTTAAACTAAATCAGATTTCTGGGATCCAGGTAACTTCCAAATTCAATTGGGGTATAACTGAAATGCTTTGATGGTGTATTATGTCAACTCTGACTTGTCACTGTAGATTTTTTTTACACTAACTGACCAGCACTCAAAGACCTGTCAGACTGGTGCTGTGTTAAATACAAGTCTCCCCAATTCCTTGGTAGGTGTCTACCAGTCAGAATATCTTCAGTAAATACACACTCGCCGACAAAAGAAAATCTTGCTGAATGGGTGAAATCAGTTATCGAACTTAATCACTTATCTATCCCAAAAAGTAGCGTAAACTAGGAATCTACTACATACCATTTCACACAGAGTCTTCTCCATTGCATCTCTCTGCGATTGAACACTTTCCAGTTTGTGCTGCAGTTCATCTTTCTCCAGCACCACAGATGATTTTGCATTCTCCAGTTGCTGGACTTGATGGTTGAATTCCTGATCCAGTATTTGTGCCTTGGAAATGTTATTGATCAGCTCACGCCTTAGTTGTTCAACCTCGATCAGTAAGTGGTCACGTTGAGATACTACCTGCTGAAGTTCATTTTTGCACCCGAGTGTCTAACAGAAAAAACATAAGGTTTTGCATGAAAATAACAATATTTGATTGACGGGAGGATGTGCAGGAATAACTGTAGATAAAAGATCATGTTCAACAGGACCACGGCTCCACTTCCTTGAAACCCATATGAGGATTAAGTGGTGATTAATTCTAAATCCCATCCTCAGAAGTAATTGTTCAAATCATTTATATGGCACAAAACTCAGTTATGGAACCCGTCTTCTGGCTGTGAGTAAGTGAAAGAGCAGAAAAACACATCACTTACCTTTTGTTTCTCTTTGTTTATTGTGTGGTCCTTTTCTGACAGACTTTGCTTCAGTTCAATTTCATTTTTCTGATTTACTTTTAGCTCTTCTTGTAGATTTCTCATCTCTGCCTGATTCTCCACAGCCTGCAAAAGTGAATATCAGTTGCCTCTTGCAACAAAAGTAAGGTCGTTTTAAGCCACATTTCTATAACATCCCTCATGCAGGGTAGCGTCCTCGAAAGCTTGACTGTGACGGTGATTAACTCTGACCTGGGGGAAGGGACCTTAGACATGGTTGAAGAGGAAGGTCTTCAGGTGTGACCTGAAGACTGAGAAGGATGGGGAAAGGCAGAGGGATAGAAGGAGCATGTCCTAGAATCTCGGGGTACATGGCTGAAAGTGCAGCCACCGATGGCTAGATAATTGACATCCTTTGAACTCATGCAGTCCAGGCTGACATACCAGCCAAGATCTGGGAAAGCGCTGCATTGTAAGAGGTGCCGTCATTTGGATGAGACATTAAATCGAGGTCTCCTCTGCCTGTTAAAGATAGTATTGCACTATTCAAAAAGAGAAAGGGAGTTTCTCTCAATGACTTTGCCAACAATCCTCAAGACAGAATTGGTCAATCATTTCATGGTTGTTTGTGGGACATTGCAGTGCTTGCTTCACCCACAAAATACCCCATCACTAAACACTGTCCAGTATTTCCTGTAAAGTGATTTGAGACGTGCTCCCAAGCCAAAAAATGCTAAATCAGCTGTAAGGATTATTTATTTATCTAACTTTTGTTCCAGGAAATTCAAGGTTATTGTGGGGAATTAAACCCTTCAATTTACCATCTCAATACTCTCTTGGAGATCACACTTCATTTGTTCACTCTCAGTTTGAAGGTTTGCTCGTTCTTGCTGTAACTGCTCCTTCTCGGTCCTCAGGTTGTTCATGTTTTGCTGAAGAGAATAAAGCTGCTCCTTGAGTTCCTTTACTTCAATCTCATTTCTTGCCTCAATCACTGTACTCTGATCTGCATTTAAACACTCATTTTCCAGGACACGATTTCCACATCCATCTTGGTATCGTATCTCCTAAATAGTTGTAGATATATGATAAATCCTTTGATCACAAGATGGGTTTGAATGAAGACATATTGGCCCATTTGATCTCATCCTCTCAAAATACACACATTTCTGTCTTCCCATTACAGCTTCAAGCTGCTTTTTAAACTAAATCAGATTTCTAGGATCTAGGTAACTTCCCAATTCAATCGGGTTATAACTGAAAAGCTTGGAATGTGTATTATGTCAACTCTGACTTTCACTGTAAATATTTTGACACAAATGGAGCAGAACTCAAAGACCTGTTAGAGTGTGTTAAATACAAGTCTCCCCAATTTCTTGGCAGGTGTCTACCAGTCAGAATATCTTCAGTAAATACACACATGCTGACAAAAGAAAATCTTGCTGAATGGATGAAATCAGTTATTGAAATTAATCACTTATCTTTCCCAAAAAGTAGCCAAAACTAGGAATCTACTACATACCAGTTCAACCTTTTCACACAGAGTCTTCTCCATTGCATCTCTCTGTGATTGAACACTTTCCAGTTTGTGCAGCAGTTCATCTTTCTCCAGCATCACAGATGATTTTGCATTCTCCAGTTGCTGGGCTTGATGGTTGAATTCCTGATCCAGTATTTGTGCCTTGGAAACGTTAGTTATAAGCTCACGCCTTTGTTGCTCAACCTCGATCAGTAAGTGGTCACGTTGAGATACTACCTGCTGAAGTTCATTTTTGCACTCCAGTGTCTATCAGAAAAAACATAAGGTTTTACATGAAAATAACAATATTTGATTGACGGGAGGGTGTGCAGGAATAACTGTAGATAAAAGATCATGTTCAACAGGACCACATGGGCTCCAGCTGCTTGAAACTCATATGAGGATTAAGTTGAGATTAATTCTAAATCCCATCCTCAGAGAACAAATTGTTGAAAGTATTTACTTGGCGCAAAACTCTCTCAGGTGTGGAATCCATCTTCTGGCTGTTTCGAGCTGTGAATAAGTGAGAGCAGAAAAACACATCACTTACCTTTTGTTTCTCTTCGTTTATTGTGTGGCCTTTTTCCGACAGACATTGTTTCAGTTCAATTTCATTTTTCTGCTTTACAATTAGTTCTTCTTGTAGATTTCTCATCTCTGCCTGATTCTCCACAGCCTGCAAAAGAATGAATGTTGCAACAAAAGTAAGGTAGAGTTTTAAGCCACAACAACATTTACATAACATCCCTCATGCAGTATCCTAGAAAGCTCGACTGTGACGGGGATTGACGCTGAACTGGGGACACGGTTGAAGAGGAAGGTCTTCAGGTGTGACCTGAAGACTGAGAAGGATGAGGAAAGGCAGAGGGATAGAGGGAGCATGTTCTACAATCAAGGGCGTAGTGGCTGAAAGTGCAGCCACCGATGGCTAAATAATTGACATCCTTTGAACTCATGCAGTCCAGGCTGACATACCAGCCAAGATCTGGGAAAGCGCTGCATTGTAAGAGGTGCCGTCATTTGGATGAGACATTAAATCCAGGTCTCCTCTGCCTGTTAAAGATAGTATAGCACTATTCAAAAAGAGAAAGGGAGTTTCTCCCAATGACTTTGCCAACAATCCTCCAGACAGAATTGGTCAATCATTTCATGGTTGTTTGTGGGACATTGCAGTGCTTGCTTCACCCACAAAATACCCCGTCACTAAACACTGTCCAGTATTTCCTGTAAAGTGCTTTGAGACGTGCTCCCAAGCCAAAAAATGCTAAATCAGCTGTAAGGATTATTTATTTATTTTACTTTTGTTCCGGGAAATTCAAGGTTATTGTGGGGAATTAAACCCTTCAATTTACCATCTCAATACTCTCTTGGAGATCACACTTCATTTGTTCACTCTCAGTTTGAAGGCTTGCTCGTTCTTGCTGTAACTGCTCCTTCTCGGTCCTCAGAGTGTTCATGTTTTGCTGAAGAGAATAAAGCTGCTCCTTGAGTTCCTTTACTTCAATCTCATTTCTTGCCTCAATCACTGTACTCTGATCTGGATTTAAACACTCATTTTCCAGGATACGATTTCCACATCCGTCTTGGTAACATATCTCCTAAATAGTTGTACAGACATATGATAAATCCTTTGATCACAAGATGGGTTTGATTGAAGACATATTGGCCCATTTGATCTCATCTTCTCAAAATACTTACGTTTCTGTCTTCCCATTACAGCTTCAAGCTACTTTTTAAACTCAATCAGATTTCTAGGATCTAGGTAACTTCCCAATTCAATCAGGTTATAACTGAAAAGCTTGGAATGTGTATTATGTTAACTTCGACTTTCACTGTAAATATTTTGACACAAATGGAGCAGAACTCAAAGACCTGTCAGAGTGTGTTAAATACAAGTCTCCTCAATTCCTTGGTAGGTATCTTACCAGTCAGAATATCTTCAGTAAATACACACATGCTGACAAAAGAAAATCTTGCTGAATGGATGAAATCAGTTGTTGAAATTAATCACTTATCTTTACCAAAAAGTAGCCAAAACTAGGAATCTACTACATACCATTTCAACCTTTTCACACAGAGTCTTCTCCATTGCATCTCTCTGTGATTGAACACTTTCCATTTTTTTGAGCTGCAGTTCATCTTTCTCCAGCACCACAGATGATTTTGCATTCTCCAGTTGCTGGGCTTGATGGTTGAATTCCTGATCCAGTATTTGTGCCTTGGAAACGTTAGTTATAAGCTCACGCCTTTGTTGCTCAACCTCGATCAGTAAGTGGTCACGTTGAGATACTACCTGCTGAAGTTCATTTTTGCACTCCAGTGTCTATCAGAAAAAACATAAGGTTTTACATGAAAATAACAATATTTGATTGACGGGAGGGTGTGCAGGAATAACTGTAGATAAAAGATCATGTTCAACAGGACCACATGGGCTCCAGCTGCTTGAAACTCGTATGAGGATTAAGTGGTGATTAATTCTAAATCCCATCCTCAGAGAACAAATTGTTCAAAGTATTTACTTGGCGCAAAACTCTTTCTGGCTGTTTTGGGCTGTGAATAAGTGAGAGCAGAAAAACACATCACTTACCTTTTGTTTCTCTTTGTTTATTGTGTGGTCCTTTTCCGACAGACATTGTTTCAATTCAATTTCATTTTTCTGCTTTTCATTTAGTTCTTCTTGTAGATTTCTCATCTCTGCCTGATTCTCCACAGCCTGCAAAAGAATGAATATGAGCTGCCTGTTGCAACAAAAGTAAGGTAGAGTTTTAAGCCACAACAACATTTACATAACATCCCTCATGCAGTATCCTAGAAAGCTCGACTGTGACGGGGATTGACGCTGAACTGGGGACACGGTTGAAGAGGAAGGTCTTCAGGTGTGACCTGAAGACTGAGAAGGATGAGGAAAGGCAGAGGGATAGAGGGAGCATGTTCTACAATCAAGGGCGTAGTGGCTGAAAGTGCAGCCACCGATGGCTAAATAATTGACATCCTTTGAACTCATGCAGTCCAGGCTGACATACCAGCCAAGATCTGGGAAAGCGCTGCATTGTAAGAGGTGCCGTCATTTGGATGAGACATTAAATCCAGGTCTCCTCTGCCTGTTAAAGATAGTATAGCACTATTCAAAAAGAGAAAGGGAGTTTCTCCCAATGACTTTGCCAACAATCCTCCAGACAGAATTGGTCAATCATTTCATGGTTGTTTGTGGGACATTGCAGTGCTTGCTTCACCCACAAAATACCCCGTCACTAAACACTGTCCAGTATTTCCTGTAAAGTGCTTTGAGACGTGCTCCCAAGCCAAAAAATGCTAAATCAGCTGTAAGGATTATTTATTTATTTTACTTTTGTTCCGGGAAATTCAAGGTTATTGTGGGGAATTAAACCCTTCAATTTACCATCTCAATACTCTCTTGGAGATCACACTTCATTTGTTCACTCTCAGTTTGAAGGCTTGCTCGTTCTTGCTGTAACTGCTCCTTCTCGGTCCTCAGAGTGTTCATGTTTTGCTGAAGGGAATAAAGCTGCTCCTTGAGTTCCTTTACTTCAATCTCATTTCTTGCCTCAATCACTGTACTCTGATCTGGATTTAAACACTCATTTTCCAGGATACGATTTCCACATCCATCTTGGTATCGTTTCTCCTAAATAGTTGTACAGACATATGATAAATCCTTTGATCACAAGATGGGTTTGAATGCCTTTAACTTTGGGATGGAATTACAGGGAGCGAAGCCCAATTTTTAACAATCTATGTTTTTGTATCCCTTGATTCTTCCACTCCACTGAGAATATTATCATTTACAGTTTAATCCCATTTTCTATTGTACTTCTCCAGAATGTTCTACTTCACATTCATCCTCCTGACTTGAAAGACTCTAAACCAAATATAAGGATTATTATGATGATGCAAACTGAATTCCACATTCCATAAAACTCTCCTAACCGCTCGCATTTATTGTCATGTTAACAGCAGTTGTGCTCAATTCAACCCATGCTCAGAGGGAAAAGATTAGACATCTTGCTCGACATCGAGCCCAAAGGGTAACACAAGAAGAAATGCCAAAGTATAATTTGAACCAACCTGCTTATCATTTCTGAGTTCATCCTTCTCAGAGGACAGACCTGTGAGGTCACGTTCCATTTGATCTGTTTCTTGGACAACCGTTGAGAGCTGCAGTTGCAGTTGTTTGCACTGGTTGTTCAGTCCATTTAGTTCATGTTTTGATTCTTTTAGTCTGGATTGTGCAGCCATTAGTTCTTCATAAAGCTGACCTTTTGCTATCGTCAACTCTTCATATTTATTTTTGTATTCCTCTCTCTCAGCTAATAATTTATCTTTCTCTTCAGTCAAAATGCACAGTTCAGTAGCAGATTCGGCCATCTAAACATGCAAAGGAGGGAAGAACTCAGTGATCTAGTCCAGGTATGGAAAAAAGCACATGCCTACATTTTAGGAGACATAACTTGTCAACAAGTTCTGCCTTGATCAAAATTTCCACGCACTGAGTAGTCAATTCTTGTGTCAGGCTATCTAACTGGTTCAAAAAAGTGCCCTAATACCTAATAATCTTTCTATGTACAAGTTATTTATACAGTACAACTCGCACAAGTCGTATCAGTTGGGACCCCAACATTCAATAACATTTACGAAAAGTATGAGTGACAAGACAATTTGCACAAGTCGGATTTTATACTACGAACACATAACAGTAAACAAGTCCCTCGTTTTCCGCACTCATTTCAACTGAGTATATTGTACTGTAGTGTGCAGGTGGTACATCATCATTGCAGCTGATAAGTGTACATGTGGTGACAGATTAAGATGTTTCCCACGCTCGTTTCAAACGGAATACTGCGCATGTTTACTTCGGCTGGTAGGTTGGCATGGTTGACAAGTCAAGACACTGCACACATACTTCAATCAGTCAGTATATATGGTAGCGGTGTTACGAGGTTTGCAAAGAGTTTAAGATGTATTTTGGATCATTACAATTTAGCCATTTATCCGATTTATAAAATGACCTAATGCAAAGAAACCTAACCATTTTTTGGTAGGAAACTGATTGGTGCACATAACACTTAGGTGATTATACGATTTATAATGAGAAGACTTATGCAATTTTTACTGTACTTATCCATTTTAGAAATATAATGCTTTACAGAATTTTTTGGTAGGTAAAATTACTGTTTTTTCGTAGTATCGCCCCTAAAATATTTATCTAACAATTCAAAATTTAATAAGAAAATGACAAAAACTTAAAGTTTATGCAAATTGGCAGTACTGTGTTGGCAATACTGAGCAGTGATTCTCAACCTTTTTCTGATCAAGGACCCAACTGTAAACCTCTCTTTAGTGCAAAAATTATCTGGTTTACTAAATATTTCTTATAATAATAATCCTAGCATTTGATATAGCACTTTTCACATCTTCTAGACATCTCAAAGCGCTTCACAGAATATACTGTAAAGTGAATTGACTGTACATTTTGTGAGCGAAATGCAGCAACCAATTGCACACAGCAGTGTCCCACAAACAGTCATGGATTGAAAATGACCAATTTATTATTTTTTTTATTTTTTTTGGAGGGATTATTATCAGGCGTGTGGAGTAAGGAAATTTGCCCAAGGTTTCACCCTGCCTGGAATTGAACCCAGATGTCTCGCTTGCAAGGTGAGTGCTCTATCCACTGAGCTACAGGACCACACCAAACCAATCAGAGTTCCCCTCATGCCACCTACACATTGAATTCCCATGACTGTAATGGATAGTGCACTCTCTCCTTAGTGATGCATCCTGCTTACCTAATTCAACAAAAACAACAACTTGCATTTATATAGTGCCCTTCACACTGGACGGCATCTCAGAGCGCTCAGATCTGGAGAATATTAAGAGCAGGCTTGCAAGATCTAAGATTCGGAGGGTCCCCAGAGTGTTTGCTATTGTACTGCTGGAGTTTCACCAGCCAAAGCTGCATGGTTTTATGCAACTGCATTCAACCATTGTAAACTCTGTATGAAAAGCTTCCTACTGCTTGTCCAGCCAGCACTCCTCTACTTGTTAGGGTTTCGGCTTGTAGAGTTGATAGGAGTTGAGTGGGAAGAATCCCTGCCCCCATCATCCCCACCTCCCCAAGTGATGATGAGTCAGGCTGGCTGATCTGTCATGAGCATTGCCCTGGACTAGTGCGGATCCGCACTAACAAGACCACCAAAAAGGGTTGACTCATTTCCGAAGTAATGTTGCCAAGCATATCACCTTGGAACCAGTTCAGCTCCAAGAGATTCCGCTAGCCTTTCCTCCCGCCAGGAGTATAATCACTGGTTGTTGATCTAACATCCGCCATGTACAAATTTGAGTTAGGTGGATGATGGGTATCAGGAACCACCGCAAGCTTCCTAGTGAGCAGCACATCTCAGCATGAAATACGTGAGAGCAGACAGGTGAGGATGCAGGCGTTGGAAGTATTGAATTATCTGGACCTTACGGATGGTGGAAATAACGAGACTGGCAAGGATTGCGTTAGGAAAATCTAGGCAAGAGGTAACAAGGCATGAATGAGATTTTAGCAGCATTTTGTGAGAGATGGGGACAGATGGCAAAGATGAAGAAAAGCAGCTTTGATAAGGACCAAGGTTATACGCTTTCATGTCGGGAGGAGGGTTTTGAGATGCACATTGAAGGAGCCAAAGGAGGGAGCAAGGCGAAGGGAATGTGGAATGGAGTTCCATAGGATGGGGGCAGAAAGGCTGAAGGCCCGATCACTGATGGTGTTTTACAAGGTAAGTGGACAGAACAACAGGACCAGGAATCAAGACTAGAAATGGAAAAGTAGATTTGGGTTTTGACTGTGGATAACGTCTACAGAAAGGGCATGTTGATAAGGAAAAGTAGGGTCCCCGAGGATAGAGCTGTGAAGTACTCTACAACTGATGATGTGAGGGTGGGAGGAGCGAACATTAAAAGAGACAAAGCAATGGCTTTCAGGGGGCAGGGGAAGGGGAGGAAAGTGTGTTAAACATGGGAAAAACACAGCTGTTAAGCAGATGGTGGCATTAAATTTGCTGTTGATGAAGACCAAAGGGAGAGGTTGAAGGCCGAGAAAGCGTTTGTGAGGGAGTGGGGACGGGGAGAGATGTTCCAGGGGCAGAATGAGAAAGTGGAGATTAAATGTAAGGTATACTGACTATGTACTTGTAAGCAAATGCGGCAGCCAATTTGTGCACAGCGGTGTCCAACAAACAGCCATGGCATGAATCAGCAATTTCACCTGAAGATTCATTGGCCAGGATACTGGAAAGAATTCCCTACTCTTGGTGAATAGTGCCATGGAATCTTTAATGTCCACCTGAACAGACACATGGGACCTCAGTTTAACATCTCATTCGACGGATAGTCAATGGCACCACTCAAAAAGAGAAGGAAATTACTCCTGACTAACAATCCCACAAATATAATAGGTCATTCACTTCATGGCTGTTTGTGGGACATCGCTGTGCACAAATTGGCTACAGTTTTTGCCCACACAAATGCACTCACTCCATTGTATAGTACTGTATACCCTATGAAGCACTTTTGGGAGGCCTCCTAACATGAAAGGTGCTACAACAAATACAAGGACTAAGCACTCTGAGACACTACTTATATTGAAGGGCACAGTACCAACACAAGCTGTTATTAATTAAATGTATTTGAAAAAGTTTACCTGTCAGATTAATATTTTCACACCGTATGAATGAAACTGTGAAAAGAAGTCCTAGAAATTCGATAAAACTGAATCCATGCAAATTGTGACAGTACATCTTCCTAAAATTCAAATAAACACCTCCTGCATTTCCTTTATTCACCTCTTTTGTTACTTTTTCAAAGTTCAATCAATTTAAGTTGACACGTTCTTCCCATTACAAATTCATGCTGGACATCCCTCATCAATTACATTTTTTCTAAATGTTTCATAACAACATCAGTCATTATGACTTGAAGTAGCTTCCCTACAATTGATGTAACAATCACCAGCTCTTCCCTTTCTTAAACAATGGAGTGACATTTGCCTCCTTCCAGCATTCTTGGAAACCACTGGGGTTTCCAAGAGGGTGACAAATGACACAGATGATAGACTCTAACATAATACAGTAAGTGTTTCATTTAGTTGTCGCTATTCCAGTCTCATTTGAAAACTGAATTAGACATTCAAAGAAATCAAAGAATCATACAATTACTGAAGTTGCAAGCCCTAATGCTAATTTAGTAGATAAACCCATTTACATGTAAAACATACACCACAATCACTGCTGAAGTAATCAATTTTCTGCACAATGGGTATTTACAGTTCCTTACCGGTGTTGTCAATTTTTCCACTTCATCAGGCAATGACTTGCACTCACATAAGCGGTTCACCTCTTGCTGCAGGCAAGTCTTTTCTTCTGATGTTTTAGCCAATTGTTGCTGAAGCTCAGAAATCGTCTTTTCTAGTTGAACACAGTCCAACAAGTCTAATATTGTTTTTTTAAAAAAAAATACATTAGAAGACTGATGAACTTCTTCAATCACACAACAGCAATTAATTTAAAAACATTAATAAGAAGTAATGGATGCAAAAATACAGTACAGCAGTACAATGGGTCACTGTGACTCATTTAATTCTCAACATCCAAAATAATTCATTCTATACCTTCATTCTGATGACATTTACTGAACACAGATTATCTATTTTACATATACTAATGGAATGAATCGACAGTCCTTCAATTCGCTGAAAGGAAACAAAATCAGTGGCATTTCTGCAATTTTTTTGGAGGAGGAAGTGACCTAACTTAGTCATGTTTGTTGTTCAAAACAATAATAGATGGTATATAAAAATCTACATTTAACAATGGAAATTCGATGAGACCTGGTGGCAGGAGGAGGCAGAGGGTCCAGGCATAACACTAATTTTTTTTACGAATTAAAATTGGAAAACTGTATGCCTAGCTATAATCAAATCGCCTCTATAGCAAATACTTTTGTGACTGGGATAAATTGCAGTGACATACTTTTGGGAACTTTTCCATCCATAAGAGTTGTTAGCTTGGTATTTTCAATAAAAACGTGCTGCAACTCTTTCTGCATATCAGTTTGCATTTGATTGTAGCGTGTTCGCTCAGCATCCAGCTGGTTCCGATACAATTGTGTGTCCTTCTCCATCTGCTGATAGTTCATTCTCATTTCATTCTTCAGATCAAATGTTAGAGGGGAAAGAAAAAAAAATTACTTTAGAACACGAGATTTCATTTTGAATGAAATTATTTTTGATTTGTGTACTTTGCTACATTGATAAGAAATACAGTCAAAGCTGTCTTCAGCAACGTATCAGGGGACTGGGCCAAAGTGTCCTTAATGTAAATAAGGTGGCCTCTGAATAAGGGTGCTTTGATGTGTGAACCTGGGTGTCCAGGGGGGTTGTTAACAAGGGGTTGCTGAATAGAGGCGTTTGATTGAATCTCACAATAGCCTATCAGAAACATTAAAGTTCCCGGTGTCACTCTTGATCTGAAGCACAGAAACTTTGAAACCATATCCATACAAATTGACACCGAGTCTAATGTGGATATCAAGTCATCAAGCAAAATACAATAGGGCTACATTGCCAACCAAAAAACACAGTACCACATTGTGCCAGCCCAATTTAATTTTTAATTAATTAATTTTCTACCTTTCTCAGTTTGTCTCTCTGGCTATAGTTTGCTCTGTATTTGTAGGTGAATGTGGCAGCCTATTTGCATACAGTAATGTTCCACAAACAGCCATGAAGTAAATTACTAATGTTATTTGGAAGATTGTTGGCCATCAGGAGAAACTTTCTTCTCTTTTTGAGTCATGACATGGGATCTTTAACATCCACCTAAAGAGGCAGATGGGACCCTGGTTTAACATCTCATTCCCAAAGGATGGCATGTCCAACAGTACAATGTACAGTACAATGCAGTCCCTGTAATGCATTGGAGTGTTGGGTTGATCTAGACTACGTGAGCTCAATTCTATGTGCTTGAACCTACAACTTTCTAACTCAGTTGTAAGTGCTACCAACTGAGCCAGGTTGATACTTTATAAAGTTAAGCAGCAAATGAAGCACTGAGGCAACATTTCTAATCGCTCAAAAAAAGGTCATTCACAAGGACGGTACTTCTGAAGAACTTAAAGAAATGAATTTACCACTTTTGGCATGGAGCGATTTTAGCAAATTAATCTGTATGTATAGAATGCTGAAATGAGAATGGAGGTAGTAGCTACAAACAAGGTGCATTTATATAGCACCCTTCACCTTCGGACACCAAGCAAGGAAGAGCGGGAAGGAGAGAGGGGGATGGCCGTAGGCACGTTCATAGTGGTAGGATTTGAGGCAAGGTGGAGTGGTAGGGTGGGTGAGCTCCAGAGATGAGTGGCGTAGAACTGAAGGCTCAACCACCGATGGCGGCATGGAGAGGGAGTGGGACACAGCAGACCCCTGAGCTGAGGGAGCGAGCAGAGAAGTCGGGGAGGAGAATTCAGAGGTAAGATGCCAGCGAGTGAATGGATTTGTAGGTGAGACCTTGACATTGATCAACATCAACAAATAATTCAATTTTTGTATTACCATTTCTTCCTTCATCTGTGCATTTTCACTTCTTAGAAAGGCAGAGTGCTTATTTCCATCACATATTAAGATTTCAGCATCATTCAGTGATTGTTGTAACTGCACAATCTGCTTCTTCAAATCCTCACCGTCACTCTGAGGAATACAAATCAAGATATTGGAATTTACACAACTATGAAATGACGGTCTATTTCCTCATTCCACAGAATGATTATACCCCAAATTCAAGGTCCATCTCAAGACCTACTTCTTTGACTGCACTTTCGGTTAGCTTTCCCTTCCTCACCCCCTTTGGCTCCACCCCAGTTTGGGTGCCAAGCCAATATTGTTAAGTGATTTGTGATATCCTCCTGATTTGAAATGCACTAAACAAGTGTAAATTTGTATTGTAAATTGTGATTTATTTTATTTATAGCTTAGAGACATTGTCTGTAGATTGTTTTAATTTTGTTAAAAACAAAGGTCAAAATTGTCAAAATTCAGTGTGAAAAATGTTGAAAGAGTTTATGGGCCTTTACACTTGTTCAGTTGCGCAAGATATTCTGAGGTGCATAACGATAAACGTTCCATTTGATATAGTGCTTTTCATGTCTTCGAGATGATGTCTCAAAGCGCTTCACAGAATATATTGTAAAGTGAATTGACTATATTTGTGAGCGAAACGTGGCAGTCAATTGTGCACAGCAGTGAGCCACAAACGGTCGTGGATTGAGTGACCAAATTGTTATTTTATTTATTTCCTTGAGGGATTACTGTCAGACGTGTGGAATAAGGAAACTTGCCCAAAGTTTGACCCTGTTGGGAATCGAACACAGGTCTCTTGCTTGCGAGGCGAAAGCTCTAACCACTGAGCTACAGGACTCCTCAAGCATACATTTCAGATAGATCCATTCATGAAGTGGGAAATGGAGCAGGCAATCATACCCTAGTCATACAAGGAGTCAATCTGACAGGGAAACTTCTGGGCTCAACAAAGCACAAACACCCCCCAAGCAACCACACTAGGTTTACACAGGTTTGTTCACATGTGGAAGACCATTAAATGCCAGAACCGACATTATACTGCCATTCTTAAGAGTATTAAAACCAGACAGAGCTTCATTTACCAACATCCACATGGAAATTCCTGAGTTTGGAATAGAATTTGCATTCTCGGCCCAGAGGGTGCAAATTCCATTCCAAACTTACTTAACCTAGGAGTGAGTATTAGGCACATGTTGGCAAGAGTCCAGGCTTAGGGTCCCCAGATTGTGCCTGTGTCACCACCCATTTCTCACCCATGTCAATCTCATCTCAATCTTAGGTGGAGTTTAGCTACCTAAAAATATAGCTTGCCATTGAAAGCACTGTCTGGCAAGCTATATCCCCTCTCCCCTCCATTTGTCCTTCTACCCAGGGTTTGTCTGTATGTCACCTGAAGGCCAGTTCATCTTATCTTCCCACCCTCAATAGGATAGTCACTAATTAGTAATTCGACCTCCAACATGAACAGGTTTGAGCCCTCACAAGACAGATGCCAGGTACCAGGAGCTTCCTCGCAAGCAGCACAGCTCAACATGAAATACATGAAAACATTGCCAGCATCTTCCAACCCAGAGTTCAGATATTCATGCCCACCCACATTAGTCCTGAGCAGTAACCCGAACTATTAAAAATGAACAGAAAATTATACGGGGTCTTTGGAGGTTTTACTGTATTACATACATTCAGGCGTACAGGAGAGGAGCTTGTAACTACAAAAATAATGCACATTTCGATTTGAAAAAAACGATGTTTAAAAATTGCATGCATGTATATGGTCTAAGAACATATTCATGTCAGAAGGGAAAGTAAAATTTATAACTAAGAGATAGTGGAAAGGTAAAAATGTGTGCCCGTGCACCAGAAGACTGTACCACAAAGCATACCAAATTCAATGTTACAGAAATACCCATATACAAACATTACCCAAAATGTGACAACCAGAAAATAATTTTATACTGATGAAAATGGTGTAATCATCTTTTTTTTAATGCAGATGTTCAGTGAAACCAGAGTATAATTGTATACTTACATATATTATAACTATATAATTGTATAACCAAAAGCCGTTGGAAGCTTCAGCTTCCGCTACAGTAAAGCAATTTAAAAATCTGGCTTTGAAAACCAAGGCAGTGAACTTTGAAGGTGGTTGTAACTTGAGATGCTAGAGGCGAGAGAACCTGGTTCGATTTACAGGCAGCTTCCTTACTCCACACACACCTACCTGTTTACCTAGCAGTAAGTAGGAACCCAGTTGTGTCACTTTTCCAGGGGTACTAATCACTTCAAAATAAATAATAATATGGTCACTCAATGCACGGCTGTTTGTGGGAGACTGCTGTGTGTAGTTGACTGCCGCGATTTGCCCACAAAATAGTTACTACACTTTACAGTATGTTCTGTGAAGCGTATTGAGACATCTCGAAGACGTGACAAGTCGCTATATCAAATGCAAGTATTATTATCCCTTGAGTTAATTTACACTTAGGTATGTTCGAGGTTTTTTGATAAATCATTAGTTGAGTTTGTTTTTTCCTTTCTTTCAAAAATATGGCGCTGCCATATACCACACAGATAGTAAGTCAAATTGTTCCTTACTACTTATGCAAATGTGGGTGAAGGCGTTCCAATTAGTGACTTGCCCCAGAAGGTTGCCCATCTTGACTGGCAGCGTTAAAGGAAGGCATCTGCCTTGGCTTGTTTTGATGTGCAGTGGCTCGGTACAGTAAATGATAGCATCGGCATATTTGGCAGGAAGCAAGGAGTTCAAATCACCATCTGCCTTCTGATTAACCCGAGACTTAGTTTGCAGGATCAGCAAAGACGAAGTTTCTTCTCGAGGTAAAGCTGACATCTGCAAATTCAGAATTTTGATCTATCGGGAGATGCATGCTTGATCTATCAGGAGTACACTCAAATTCACCCATAGCTCAATACATACCACGCAGATAGTAAGTCAAATTGTTCCTTACTCCTTAAAGAAAATTCTCAAAGTTCAGTTTGCAAGGTTTTGTGGAGCAGCAGCTGTTGGATGCCCTTGCTGTATTCTGCCACCTCCAATAGGATATAGTAATTCCAATTCCATCTCCAGCTGGTATCAATGTGTCCAACAATTCCTTTACTACATTCCCAAAAGGACAACTTTCTTCCTAAGAGATCCCTTCCAAATCCAGCTCTAGTTCAGGTACATCTTTGAAGCTCTTCGAGACACTACTCCACGTGAAGTGCGCTATATAAATTCAAGTTGTTATGGTTGAAGACAACCCAAATCATCCAAACTGTTAGCCTGGCTGTGTATGGCTTAAGCACCAGTGCCGTTGGGCTCTTCCACCCCACTACTGTTAACATGGCTATCTGGAAAGTGACATGCAAGGAACCAGGGTAATGATGCACCTAGAAGTCAAACTGATCCCATCACGAAAGGGGCAAATCCCTTTCCAAATCCAGCTTCAGATCATTATCTCTTGAAGACAACCCAAATCACTCACACCCCATTCCACCATTCATCAGCTTGGAACACACTCATTAAGTCTGAAAATCTATAGTCATCTAAAAACTGGCTCAAACTATGAAAATAGTAAAATTCCACTGTGATAATTTCTTTCATCAAAAACAGACTTTTGTACATGTTTTCAAATGGCCTGCACACTATTACTCTTAATATTCCACCTATTGCACTATTATGGGCCCAAAATTATTTTAATATACCTTGAGTGACTTACAATGTAATGCAATCTACTGTATTTTGCAAATATTTTAAACTTACCTGTGCTGTGCAGGTATAAAGTTTCAGGTTTCTTGCTGCCGCTTCTTTCAGCTGTTGAATTTGGTTTTGAAGGTCTAAAATCTGTTGATCTTGTTGTATTTTTTTCGCTTGGCTGATTATTTCAGTCTATTATTAACAAATAAAATATCTTCAAACTTCATTTTAGGCTAGCAGGAGTTACAACAATTACAAGTAAATCAAATGCATTGTGTAAACAGAACTTGAAATCAGGGCCTGTACTTCTAAACTGAATCAATATGTAACCTTGCTCGTGACCAATCGCAGAAACATTGAATTATATACACAGATTTCTGAACAATACAGAACCCACACAGGTCTGAACACGGTAAGGATATGAAGATTGCAATGCTTCAGAATGCACCGTTCGTGTTAATTAACATAAAGGATAAGTTAGGAAACACTGTAAACAAACAGGCCAACTTGGTACCGTTTCTTAAAACAATGAAGAGCTGAATCATGGTGCCAAGGGGCCTCAGCAATGGTTTAGTGACAATTTAAAACTATTTAATGCTAAAAAAAAAATCAACATTTTGACGGCACAAAAAGGAAACTGAATTAAATTGGGTTTTCTTACTCAGTGAAATTCTGCCTCGAGAATAGAGACATTAAAGAGAGGCCTCAGAGAATTATCAAGATATTGCAAAGGAGTCACTGAACGCAAGCTAATTAAGGAACAATATTAATGTTCATAAATATTCTTTGTTGTATGAAACAACCTTTACCTCGCAATTCGAAATAAAAATTCAGTTTTGAAATCAAATTAAAGCAAGGGGGGGGGGGATGGAAGAAAATAAAACTCCCTGGACTTGTCCTCACGGTCACATTCCTCCCCAGCTTCACACCACCCTTTATAATCTCGTGCAGCCTTACCATTCCCAGCTGCATCCCTCACGCAGCTAACTTCATATCCCATGCCCTTCCATCAGTGGGTACAATTGCATTACCATCAGTGGATGAGCATTCATTGTGCCTCTGTTCTGGACCTCCATTCCAGAGTGCCTCAGCCTCTCCCCCTTCTGCCCTACCTTTCAAACCAAATTAAGACCTTTCAAATTCTATCTTTAAAGGCATCTTTAAAGGTAATTATCTTTCCAAAAAATAATTATTTAATTACTCAATCCACTGTTTGTGAGACACTGCTGTGCCCCACCATCAGTAGGCGCAATTGGCTGCCGCGTCTTGCCTACAAAACATACACTCCATTCACTTTCCAATATATTCCGTGAAACGCTTTGAGACGTCTCAACAACATAATAAGGTACTATATTGAGTGCATGGATTATTATTATTATTCCTTTCCAATCATGCTTTCTGTCAACTTCCTCAACCCCCGCTCAGGCATGCAGTCAGCTCTGGGTTTGGTCTTGTGTGAAAACCGTATGTCAAATTAAATTTGAAGAAACTTCAAGAACTCTTATAATAAATGCCAGCATCCTGATTGCCTTATTGATCGTTTTTTGGATTCTGAATCAGAATTCAAATTAACCTGAACCAGGTTCTCTGGCCACAATCTTTCAATCCTCCTTGGATATGGGAGTGATGCCAGAGGACTGGAGGGTTGCAAATGTTACACCGCTGTTCAAAACAGACGAGGGATAAACCTGGTAACTACAGGTCAGTTAGCCTAACGTCAGTTAGGTTCTAGAGACCATAATCAGGGACAACATTACTCATGGGCAATCGCTTGTAGATGTTTGTAAAATAAGGTATTAATGAATATGGAGAAACGTAAGGAAATGGGTTAAAAACATCTGCTATGATCACCTAAAGGTAGAATAGGCTGGATAAACTGAAGGCCTCTCACTGCTTATTAGGATTCATAGCTATGGGATTTTTTAATAACTGCAAAAAACTTCTTTTTTTTTTGAAGTTCTTAATCTTACAACAACAACAACAACTTGCACTTATAGAGCAGCCTTCACATAGGGTAGCATCCCAGGGCACTTACAATAGGCTACGTATATTTTCAACTTTAGCTATTGATACTTGCAAAGTACCTCAGTGATGTTTTGAATTTCTTTTTCCAAGTACTCAAATTCTTCAATCTCCTTCTTTCCTTTCATTAGATTTTTCAGTTCACTTATTTCTTGCTTTTGTTTCTCGATTTCCATTTTTAGTATTTTGGCATCATTCTGGAAAGTAGACATTTTCATTCATAACTTTTCTTTTTTAAAAATCACAAAAGTTGAAACACAGGATGTTTTACTCATGCTATAATGATGGAGTTCTGCTTTAAATACCTTTTCAGAGTAAAGAAGCTCACAAAGCTGAACACTTTCAATCAACTGCTTCTGCAAATGGTTTGCATGATTCTGCAAAACAAAAATGAAAAAGGAAATTAATTTTCAATGGATTCATTTTCATATTTGAAAATTAGGATTCATAAAACTAAATTGATCCAATGGAGCAGGGAAATGCATCCTCAACAATGTGGGGCCACCACCAAAGACTATTAGAAACCAAGAAAACTGCCTAAATTTTACTTTGTGCAGATCCTTAAACTGAAGGAAACATTAGACATTCATACCATATTGAAATCAAATTAATGTTCTACCTCAATTTATTGCAGACACTTAGGGCAAACTTGATAAGGTACTGACTTACATTAGAATGTTTAAGCTGCACACATCGGGGCAGGGAGTTTTGTCCGATTTTCCAGGCATCCGGTACCTGAAGTTCTTTTCTTTCCACTCTGCTGAGCGCCTCTTCCCTCCCATTTCCATTGGAAGGGAAGGGGAACAATTGCGGGGCTCCACTAGGTATCAATCCCCTCCACATTCATCGGATGCTGCTTGTGAAACTGCTGTCCATCAATCACGATTCAACTCCTCCCATGTTTCTTCCCCATTGCTCCGCGCCTCACTGATTGACAGCCCAATTCCAGTCACGTATGAATGGCTGGAGTCCGCTGTCAATTAATCTTAGACTCCTCCCATCTCCATCCCGGAGCCACTCGTGGCCAAATGGAGCCGCTCGAGACAGTGCAACATTACCCAGATTAACAGGATTTTCGTTCAAATTTAACAGGCATATTTAAAATGGGTAAGAATACAAATGAATCGGGGCCGGACATGTCATCCGATTTACCCTACGTCCGGCTAAAGTGGATTCCACTGTGTGTATGTATGTGTATATATATTATGTTGTGTATATATATATAAAATATATATGCACACTTCAGCACTTTAGCTGCAATGAATACAAATTGACAGATTTAAGTAAACAGATTAAATGATAAAGAACCAACCTCGCTCTTCCTATTTTCTTCTCTTCTCTCTTTTATCACGTCTTCAAGATTTTGCTCCAGCTCAGTGTACATTTTTACTAGTTCCTCGTTTGAAGGTCCATTATTACTCTCACTGAAGAATAAATGATTGAATTTTGTTAGGTAAATCCACTACACATTTTGAGTATTAGCATTACGAATAACAATCCTTACATTTGATACAGTGCCCCAACACTTTGCTGATTCACAGGACTCACTGAAAGTTGCAGTGACTGTGCACCACGCAGGCATCCGGCAGCCAATTGGCCACAATAATGTCTTACAACAACCATGAAGTCGCGACAAATTTTATCCGGAGGATTGGTGGTCGGGATACCACGAAGAGAAAAACTCCCTTCCTTTTCAAAGCACATTGACAGTGCTCGATGGGCACCTGAGCTGTGGGCGGGAGGTGAATGAGGACCACTCTTCTGCACCTCCCTACCTCTCTGACCGCCTCTCTCCTCAAAACAGTGCCCGTTGCCTTCGTTCCACTGGGTCTGGCCTCTTCCTCGTCCCCCCCGAGTCCTCCGCTCTATCCTCTGCGGCAGTGCCTTCAGCCACCATGCCGAGGCTCTGAAACTCCCTTCCTTCGCCTCACCCTCTCTCTTCCTATTTTTAGGTCTCGGCTGAAGACCTTTTTTTTCGACCACGCCTTTGGTCACCTTCCTCCCCCTCCCCCTGGCTCTGCCCTGGGATCCGTTACTGTGAAGCACTCTGAGATGCCGCCCGGCATGGAGGGCGCTTTATAATCCCAAGTTTTGTTGATGGAGTTCCTCCGACAAGACAAAGGTGAGGTAGATAGCGCAGCGACATGAAGCAAGCACACTGAGTGAAGGGAGCAGTGGGTCAGTGGGGTTGAAGGAAGTGGGAGAGGTAGAGTGGGGCAAGACCATGGAGGGATTAAGAATGAGAACAAGGATCTTGAACTCAATCAACTGAGAGCCAATGGAGCTGATCAAGGATGAGGAGGAGCAAGTATAGGCAAGAGCTGGGGAGGAGTGAAGCCTGGCATTGATAAGGCATGGATGAAGGTCTGAGTGGCCCAAGAGGAGAGGTAGTGGTAGAGTTGGGCAATGTTTTGGAGTTGAAGGAAAACTGATCGTGTGCAAACACAGATATGGGGTTCTTCACTGGTTGTGAGGTGGAGTGCACATCCATGCAGCTTGCTGTCAGTACCCATGGTGAAAATGCGATAATGGGAGCCAAGCTGGAGAGTTTTACTACATTTACAGGACTCAATCTTTTAAAAATTACTATTATGTTACAACTATTGCGCTCCTTTCACTTCACATCCCCGTCCTATCTGCCCCACTATCAGTGGGCATTCTGTCCTCACTCTGGAATGTCAACAGAGTCCCTACAACTTGCTCCCTCTTTCAACTTGTCAGTTTCAAGATATATGCTTACCTGCAATTACAGTGGTTTGATCTTGTTTTCCTTTTGTCATTCATATCAGGGACAGATATATTCTGCAGATCTGATCTTCCACCTCGTTTCGTATCGGAGTATTCAGTTGTTGAATCCATAAAGGTACTGAATGAACAGCCGGAATCCCAAAAGTCTTCATTATCTTCAGCTGTTTTTTACCCCACAAAAACAAAAAACGACTGTTCAAGCAAAAACTTTAAAGAATCCAAAAACAAATTTGTACAAATCAAGAGTTGAGATTTAGCTCTCCTTAACATTTTGGTGGGGAGGGTGGTTTGCACGAAAAAGACAAGAAAAACTTCTGTTGTTAAAACAGTATGCAAAAACATTTTCTAGCTTCTAAAAATCCACAATTAATATTAATTTGTTACTGTGAAATCCATTATAATAGTGGTCACCTCGCTCCCAAAATGCCAGTTAGTTCTTACGTGCAAAGCAAGAAGTAACATCAGTGATGACCTCATAACCTAGAAATCAGCAAATAATATTTTCTCTGGAGACTTTTGAAAAGATAAATCTCAAAAAGACAAGGCACCCTGTGATCTCTGAGGGACTGGCACTAAACTTCAGCAGCAACAATCATAATGTTTATGTGGCCCACGGACCTTTCTCAAATAGGGCATCTGACAGCCAAGAGCCAAAAATGTGAATCAAACCCTGGTGTAAATCACTGGTTAAGCAGCAACTGGAGTATCAGACTCTCTCCAATGGACTCTCCCTCCACCATCCCGCTCAACAGAACATGCCATAACCCAAATTCTCTGCGTCCAGTTCCGGGGTGTGGGGTGGGGGGGGTAGGGTGCAGAAGAAGTTTATGAGAATGATTCTGGGGATCAAGGGCTACAGTTATAAGGAAAGATTGGAGAAGTTGGGACTCTTTTCATTGGAGCTGAGAAGGTATACAAATGTAATTTTGTTGTTGTTGAAGAGAGCACCTAATTGAGGTGTACAAAATCATGAGGGGATTTGTTCAGGTAAATAAAGAGAAGTTATGTCCATTGGTTCATTGATAGGGGAGTCAGTAACTTGAATGCAGAGTTATGATAGTCACAAACACAACAAAAAGGGAGTTTAGAATTATTTTTTCCCCAGTGCATTTGGGTTATGGAATATTCTGCTAAGTAGGATAGTGGAGGGAGAGTCCATTGTAGCTTTCAATAGGGAAGTAGAGAGGCATATAATGATAATAATAATCGTTGTATTTAATGTAGAGCCTTATCGTTGATGGCTCAAAAGCACTTCAGAGTATACTGCAAAGTGGATTGACTGTATTTTGTGGGCGAAATATGAAAGAGCGAAGCTTGAAAAGGTACAGAGAATAAGGTGGGACGATGGGATTGAAGCAATATCTGGTCTAGGCTTGATGGGCTGAATGGCCTCCCTCTGTACCTCAGATTTCTATGTTTCTAAAAAAAATGTTGAAGGGGGATTTTGCAAACTTCTCTATTCCACTAACTTTCATCCAGTTCTTGAAAGATATCATCCAACTTGTTTCTTTTAGCTGCAACACTATCCGGATATAAACTGAGCTTTAGTTTTCCAGGAGCCCAGGTAACTCTCCTCTTCCTTCTTGCCTGTAAAGCAAGCATAAAATGGGCATTTTATAGATTATTTTTGATTTACATAATTTTGTTCCAGCAGTGTAATGTTTCAATTCAATTTTAGGAGAAAGTCAGTTGTTTGTTTAATAATAAGAACATAAGAATTAGGAGCAGGAGTAGGCCATTCGGCCCCTCGAGCCTGCGCCGCCATTCGATAAGATCATGGCTGATCTTCAGATCTAACTCTAATTACCTGTCCTATCCCCATATCCCCTAATCCCTCTATTTTTAAAAATCTATCAGTCTCCGCCTTGAAGATGTTCAAGGACTGAGCATCTACAGCCTTCTGGGGTAGTGAATTCCATAAGTGAAGAAATGATTCCTCAACTCTGTTCTAAAAGGCTGACCCTTAATTTTAAGACTGTGACAGCTGGTTATAGATTCTCCTACCAGGGGAAACAGACCCTCAGTGTCTACTTTATCAGCCCTTTAAGAATCTTATGTTTCAATAAGATCCCCCTAATTCTTCTGTACTCTAGAGAATATAGCCCTAGTTTATTCAGCCTATCCTCATAGGTCAGTCCCCTCAACCCAGGCACTAACCTAGTGAATCTACTCTGCACCCCCTCTCAGGCAAGTATGTCCTTTTTTAAATAAGGAGACCAAATCTGCACACAATACTCTAGGTGTGGTCTCACCAAGGCCCTACACAGTTGCAGCAAGACTTCCCTACTCTTGTACTCTAAACCTTTTGCAATGAACGCTAACATGCCGTTTGCTTTCTTAGTTGCTTGCTGCACCTGTGAACTAACTTTTTGAGACTGGTGTACAAGGACACCCAAATCCCTCTGAACACTAACACTATCTAATCTCTCCCCCTCTAGAAAAGAATCGTTTTTTCCATTTTTTGCTACCTAGGTGAAAAACTTCACACTTCCCCACATTAAATTCCATCTGCCACCTACTCGCCCACTCCCCGAGCCTATCTATATCCCATTGTAATCTTTTTGCATCAGAGCTTACTCTCCCACCTAGTTTAGTGTCATCCATGAATTTAGATACATTACATTCAAAGTCCTCGTCTAGATCATTGATGTAAATTGTAAATAGCTGAGGCCCAAGCACTGATCCTTGTGGCACTCCACTAGTCACATCTCCTGCCAATTCGAGAATGACCCGTTTATCCCTACTCTCTGTTTTCTACCCATTAGCCACTCTTCAATCCATGCTAATATGTTCCCATTAATCCCGTGGGCCTTAACCTTGTGCAATAGCCTTTTGTGTGGCACTTTGTCAAATGCCTTCTTAAAATCTAAATATACTACATCTACTGGTTCCCCCCTATCTAACCTGCTAGATACATCTTCAAAAAACTCTAAAAGATTAGTTAAGCATGACTTCCCTTTTGTAAAGCCATGTTGACTCTGCCTAATCTTGTTATGGTCTTCCAGGAATCCCATAATGACATCCTTAATTAAGGACTCAAGAATTTTCCCTACCACTGAAGTCAGACTAACTGGTCTATAGATCCCCATCTTTTCTCTCCCACCCTTCTTAAATAGTGGTGTTATGTTTGCAATCTTCCAATCAATGGGAACCGTTCCAGAATCCAGAGAATTTTGGAAGATCAAAGACAAGCCATCCACTATCTCAGTAGCCACCTCTTTTAAAACCATAGGATGTAGGCCATCAGGTCCAGGGGATTTATAAGTTTTAAGACCTGACCAGCTAACTCATCTTAGCTGTTTTATAGGCTTCTTCCTTTAACTTTATACTTTCCCTAACTGCTCTAGTTAGCCACGGTTGGGCCACCTTTCCCGTGGCATTCTTATTCCACAAAGGAATATGTGCTCGCTGGGAATTTTGCACTATCTCCTTAAACGTCTGCCATTGCTGGTCTACTGTCAAATCCTTAAGTCTAATTTCCCAGTTTATTTTAGCTAAATCCTCTCTCATACCAGCAAAGTTAGCTCTACTTAAATTTAAGATCTTGTATTTGATATAGCACCTTATCATGTATTCTAGACATCTCAAAGAGCTTCACAGAATATACTAATTAAATATGAAGAATATTAAGGAACATTAAAGAATCATTAGACTGTGCAACAGTTCAAGGAATGTGCTTACCCTAAGTTCTGTCCAATTCTCTTCTGTTGAAGCAGTGACAAGCATTCTGGCTAGATTCTTCATTTTGTGCTCATGCTCTTGTTGTAGACCCTGTTTTTCTGCCAGCAGCTGAGCTTTCTCCATTGCCTGAGCAAGAGTCTCAGAAGTGACCTAGAGAGCAAATGGAGGCAATTTTATAATTTCATACTTTAGTCGAATGTGGAATGAGATTACTGCACACTCCCAGTCGCTCACTCCAACTCCCATGGCCTCTCAGAACCTTGGATTTTTGTTCAACTCTCTTTTTAAACCTTTCTTCTGAGGTCTGACCATATCCACTTTCCTCCATCTCAACAACATCACCAACTTCCACCACTACCTCAACACATCCTTAGTCAACTCTAGACTCAACTTCTCAAATCCTTGCTCGTCGGCCTTCTCAAGTCGACCTTCCACAAGCTCCAGAAAATCTAGAACTATGTAATGCTCAGTTTGTGGATCAGCCTGGCTCAGCTTACAGTACTATTGCCTTTGAGTTAGAAGGTTCTGGGTTCAAGCTCCATGTCGGGACTTCAATTGCATATCTAGGCTGAGGGTGTGCTGCATTGTTGGAGGTGCTGCCTTTAGATGAGAAGTTATACTGAGGTACCATCAGTCTGTCAAGAGTATGTTAAAGATCACATGGTGTAATTCAAATAGAAAATAATAATTCTTGCATTTGATATAGCGCCTTGTCAAAGAGAGAACATTAGCAAGCCTGAGAATATTCATTGACAACTCTGACTCAGGGCCAAACTGACTTGTTGGGGCCAGGTCACTTCTTATAAACTTCAGACTTAATGTAAAATAACTTAAACATTTGAAGAAATGGGACAGATCGAATCTTTATTGACCTTTTTATTATGTTTTCAATCCATGGTTGTTTCTTCAGGTTTGTTGCTGATTCTACATTCAAAAGCCTCTTATTTTTGGGCTTCACAAAATGGTGCTCGGTTGTGACCCTGTTAATCCTCCCAATTCTGGACGGGAGTGAGTTCTGAGTTGCATTTGATTTGGTTCTGTAATAATAACAATAATAATACTTGCATTTGATATAGTGCCTTATCACGTCTTCGAGACGTCTCAAAGCACTTCACAGAATATACTGTAAAGTGAATTGTCTACATATTTTTGGGGCGAAACGCGGTAGCCAATCGCACACAACAACGTCCCACAAACAGCCGTGGATGTGAAGTGACCCGATGGAGAAGGGAGTTTCTCTGGATTTCCTGACCAACAATCGCCCAATACAATTGTTTCTTCATTTCATGGCTGTTTGTGGGACATTGCTGTGCGCAACTTGGTTGGCGTTTGCCCACAAAACACACTTTATTTGACTTTACAGTATATTCTGTGAAGCGCTTTGAGATGCCTCAAAGATGTAATAAGGCCACAAAGATGTAATAAATGCAAGATTATATCCTGTGAATCGCTTTAAGAAAGTCTCCCGAAACAAAAAAAAAATATTTTTTGGGCTTGCACTTGGCTCTGCAAATCAGTCACCAACCTCTCCTGGCTACATTGACTCCCTATCCCTCAGCACTGAAATCCTTGTCCTTATCTTCAAATGTCTCCACAGCTTTGTCCCACCCTACCTCTGCTCTAAAACTGCAATTCTACTCGACTACACATTCCCTCTGCTCCTACAACTTATGGCCTGCTTCATACGTTTTCTTAGTCTCTCTCCAACCCAAATTCCCACAAATATGGAGCCCCATTGGTGGCCTTATGGGTGAAAACACCACCCATCACATGAGAATGATGGGTGCAGACTTGAGTCTCAGGATTCCTTACAGTACAGAAAACACTAAACAATGTCTGGATTCATAAGGGACAGATTATGGACCAACTGGGTATTAAAATTACTCCACCTAGGTTGCCATAGTTTGAATGTTAGTATTTTATTTTAATGAGGTCCTTTTATAAAATGAGTCCGCTTGCAGAACGCTGCTTTAAAATTTCAAGGCTACTGATCGTATACAACAACTTGTGTTTATATAGTGCCCGTCACACAGGATAGTGTCCCAGAATGCTTGATAAGGGCAGAGTCTGACACCGAGCCACGGAGTGAGGGAGGTGACCATTTGCACAATCAAAAATGAAGGTCTTTAGGTGGGATTTGAAAGTTAGGAGGGAGGGAGCAAACCGGAGGGATTGAGGGACAGATTTCCAAAATGTAGTGGCTGAAGGCATGGCATACATCACATACTCTTTCAAGTATTGACAATTAGTTTTAACTTACTACTTTGCAATCCGCATTCATTGTATCTTTAATACTTCAATAAACAATCTCATAGAAATATAATTGATTTTTCTGTTTCCTACAGTGTCCTATTAATAAATATAGCATTTGAAATAGTTACTTTAAGGGAAGCCAAACTTTGTTAAAGTAACTTTAAGGTATGAAGATATCACCAGTGTCAGTTTGCAGGGTTTTTATTTGCACAGGGAGGGACTTGAGAAATAATAATAGCACCTTATCAAATCATTGAAATGTCTTAAAGCAATTCACAAGATTTAATGTAGGCTATCTAGCAACTGCATTTTTTGTAGGTGAACGTTGTCAACCCACTTCCTCAGTCGACGAAACGGGGGGCGAGAAGAGGAACCTGGGGGAAGCGACTGGGAGCGAGTTTGAGGGTGGTGGGCAGAAGATAATCAGGAGCAGCGGCAGGAGGGCAAACCGAGCTGTTCCGGCACGAGGTTACTGCAGGAGCAGAGTCAGTGTGAGAGGTGTATAGTGGTAGCGAGGCCTCCGGGAGTGAGGTCGGCAGCACCCGGCAGGTAACGGCACAGCCGGGGTCTGGGAATTTTTTAAAAAAGGATTATTACTCCTGGAAAAGTGATCCGCCAATCAACTAACGATCGAGTTCCCACTTACAGCTAGATAAACAGGAGTGTGGAGTAAGGAAACTCGCCTAAGGTTTTGCCCTGCCTGGGAATCGAACATGGGTCCATCCTCTTCCTTGCAAGGCGAGTGCTCTAACCACAAATTACCAGACATTTTAGGTTTCACCCGAAAGACACTTCCCCCAGCACTGAGCTTCGACTATCTGAACTCAGAAGACTATGGACTATGGGGGTGGGGGTGGTGGTGAAAGAGGGGGAGGAGAAAAAGGGAGTTTGATTTGGATACTCTAAAGCGCGTCAACCTGACTCTTTGACCGCGCTTTCAGTCATCTTGTCCCCATCCCACTTCCCTCGGCTCCCACCCCCAGCTCAGGTGCCCAGCCAGCAGCGTCGAGTGCTTTGAAACATCCTTTCAATGTGAAAATGTCACATCTCTGGAGAGAAACACAAAATATTGCTTGTGCGGCTCGCTGACGTTTCTCAAATAGGGAATCCACAGCCAATGTGAAAAAAACGATTTTGTGCAAATAAAAATCTTAGGGTTTCCAAACCTTGTCACCAGCAGCATCAACTTACTTTTTCAAGACGATTTTTCAAATCCATTATTTCTTTGCGGTAACGCTTAAGCATTGCTTGGTCGTCCAACACTTCATTCACATGAGGGGTGTTCTTCATAAATTTAGCAGTGCTTGCAAACTGAAATGAAAAATAAGATTGGAATCAATTCTGTACTCATTAACATTTGCTGCTGCAATGGGAAGATAAGAATGATCTAGAAAAACAGATAGCAACACAAAAATTATAAACTAAATGTCCTTCTATGCAGAAAATTTTAGGGCTCTAACAAACACCCAATGGACCTTTTTCACCCAAACCTTTTCACCTAGACTTTGTGTTAAGCAAAGTCCCCTAGTTTGAAGTCCCATTGGTTATTCCATTACCAGCCATTCGGCAGGGTAAGCCTGGCTTGGTGAGCTAGGCGCAGAAAATGTCATCGCTAGCAACGGGTGAGTCAATCAGTTCAAGGAGCAGCATCGCTTGAGTATACAAAAATATTAGCAGTGAGGATAAGTCTGTCGGCAAGTCTCGCTTTGAAGAGTGGAAGACCCATCTCCTGGAATTTCTGTGTGACTACAATTCAGACCAAACTTACAACACGGACAAGACCGCCTTGTTTTTCAAGTACAGCCTGGACAAAACTTAATGCATTAAGGAACAATCCTGTACATAGCAACAGGAGTAGGCCATTCAGCCCTTCAATCCCGTTCTGCCATTTAATTAGACCATGGCTAATCTGAACTTCAACTAATCCTTCCAATTCCAATTTCCCACTTTCTCTCCAAATCCCTTAATACCCTGACCTACCAAAAATCTAACAACCGCACTTTTGAAGGCGTGCATGGATCCAGCATCCATAGCCTTTTTGGACAGAATTCCAGATTTCTACCACTCTTTGAGTGCAAAAATGCTCCCTGATTTCACTCTTAAATGGCCGGGTTCTAATTCTAAGACTATGACCCTTGTTTTGGATTCCCCCACCAGAGAAAATATCTTCACTGTAACTACCCTATTGAATCCCTTTATCATCTTAAATACCTGAACCAAATCACACCTCAACCTTCTAAACTCAAAGAAATACAATCCAAGTTTATGAAGCCTTTCCTCGTACCTTAATCCTTTTAGGCCTAGAAACATTCTGGTGAACCTGCGCTGCACCCCCTCCAGGGCCAATATATCTTTCCTGAGGTGTGATGCCCAAAACCGAATGCAGTTTCCAGATGGGGGTTTGACTAACGCTCCACGCAGCTGAAGTGTAATTTCTTCCCCATTGTATTTCAGGCCCTTTGAGATAAAGGCCAACATTCTATTAGCCTTTTTGATTACTTTTTGCACCTGGGAACTAGATTTTAGTGATTTATGGATATGGATATCCAAATCTCTTCAATCCTCCACGGTTCTTAATTTCTCCCCATTAAGAAAATATTCTGCTTTAACTTTTTTCGGTCCATAGTGGATGATCTTGCACTTTCCTACATTGAACTCCATCTGCCACAGTTTTGCCCAATCATTTAATCTGTCTCAGTCCCTTTGTAGCTTCCTACAAAAATATATATATTTTATATGGTGAATAGCTGAGGTCCCAGTATAGATCCCTGAGGGACACCACTTGTCACGTTCACTTTATCCCTATCCTGTTTCCTGTCTCCCAACCAATACCAAACCACGTCACAGCTCTGACTCCATGCGCTTCCATTTTCGCTAATAATCTTTTGGGTGGAACCTTATCAAATTCCTTCTGAAGGTCCATATAAACAACTTTCATAGACACTCTTTAATCCACCATTTCAGTGACCGCCTGAAACATTCAACTAGATTACTCAGATATGAGCTGCCCTTCATAAACCCATGCTAATTCTCTTTGACTAGCTCATACCTGTCGACCTGTCTAAGTGTTCAATCACTCTGTCCCTGATGATGGATTCCAGTATTTTCTCTATAACTGATGATAAGCTAACACTAAGTCACACAATATTCCAAATGAGGTCTGACTAGGGTTTTATACAACTGTAATATCACTTTGAGTTGTTTTCCTGTCCCCTTATGAAAAACGGCAAACGATATTTCTACACAATTTGCTTTTCTCACACGCTTAACTCCAAGTCCTGTCTTTCCCTTAGTATTCTTATATGGAATCTAACTATAATCACTGTTCACAAATTTTCCCCCACCTCCAGATTAGTTACTTGGGCCACTTAATTCTCCAAACTGAATCTTGCACTGCCTCCTTCATGTTGGGCTGTCCACAAATTGCTTAAGAAAGCAATCTTGGATACTTTCTAAAAATGCAACTCCATTTTGCCCCTCAATACTTTCCTTATTCCAGTCAATCTTGAGGTAGTTGAAGTCCCCTATTATTACCATTCTTTTGTAACAGCTGCTTACTTTTCTAAACTACTTGCAAATGGCCTCTCCAATCTCCTTGCCACTATTGGGCAGTCTAAGGTGGAATCCTAATATAGTGACCACTCCCTTTTTACTTCAAACTTCTACCCACAAGGCACCTTACCGTCTATCAAGATAAGGCATGAAAAGGCGCTAGCTCAAATACAGAAAACTTGCATAAAAGGAGGGTGGAGCTAAGGAGACTGCCGGGGGGAAGGAGGGAGGCAATAGGCACAGAAGCAAGCAAAAGAGGGTCACCATACCTGAAGCGTACTAACAGTTTCTTCCAAAGCATCTGTAGTAATTGTGCAAATGATAACTGTCTTTGCATTCCCACCCAATGAATTTTGCAGGATCCGAGTTATTTTACTGTCTCTGTAATTTATAAATCCACTAAAAGAAAACAAATATTGAATTACTATACGAAAACACCCAGCGATTTATTTATTTTAAAGAAAACAGGTCACAAAGCAAACTACAAAAATGGCCTTCCAATAACCTTATTCTGAAAAATCAAAACAGTTTCCTACCCCGTCTGTCCATCACTGAGTTTTTTAATTACTTGGCCAAGCACGAACAAACTACGGTTGATATTACATCCTTCCTTCAGTCTGACACCTAAGTTATACAAAAAAAAGTTTTACAAACATTGGCCTTAAAACAAAGTGAAATCAGATTTGAATTGTTGAGTACCATGTTATGTTAATGATTTTGAGAAAGTAAGCCATCTAGGGGTGCAGATATAGAGATTTATAGCTGGGATTACAAGTAGAAAACATAAAAAGGTATATGGAATCTGGTTTTATACAGTGCGGCCCTGTTATAACACTATAGTGCAAATTTGCTTATAGCTGGAGTACTTGCTGACACCCAATTCATTTCCACATGAAGTCATGTAGAAGTCCACATTTCCACATGAAGTCATTTCCAATTTATTTCTACGTGGAGGCCTGTAGCTCAGTGGTTAGAGCACTTGCCTTGAAGCGAGACACCTGGGTTCAATTTCAGGAAGGGTGAAACCTTGGGTAAGTTTCCTTACTCCGCACACCTAATAATAATCCCTCCAAAAAAAACCAAAAATAATAAATTGGTCATTTTCAATCCTTGACTGTTTGTGGGACACTGCTGTGCGCAATTGGCTGTCGCGTTTTGCCCACAAATATACAGTCAATTCACTTTACAGTATATTCTGTGAAGTGCTTTTTATTATCTCAAAGACGTCTATATCAAATGCTAGAATTATTATTATATTGTGCGCTCACCAACTTCCTTTCAATAGATTGTGTTGAAATCACTTTCTGCATTGGTGTGTAAGGGAAAAACAGGAAGAAACATTAGGTGGTGACCGATTTTAGCTAAGATGACCATCATTTAGCTTTTAGCTTCCTGCACTTAGTTTCAGGCCATTTTTGGGGGTCACTCAGGTGTCTGAAACATGTTTAAGAGTATCCAAACCAAACTGAGAAATTCATGCATCCCACCTGAAATCCCAGAGATAGGATTGTTGGAATGGAATGCACACTCTCTCACTAGAGGGATGTATCCTGCTTACCTAGTTCCAGAAACTATTAGTCGCAGGTTGGCAAGAGCCAAGGTTTGGGGACCCCAGAGATAACTCGTTGGGGTAACTGCTGGAGTCTAGCCAGCTAAAACCACACAGCTTGCCATTGATATTGTGTCTGACGAGCTTGTCCAGCTAGGACTACCCTACCCGTTAGGGCTTTGGCTTGCAGGGTTAACAGGAGCTGAGTGGGATGACTCCCTGCCCCCAATGACTGGTCTGCCATCCAGGTCCTGCCTATAAGACAGACTGGGCTGTGCTGTCATCAGCAGTGTTCTAAAATACTGCGGACCCCCCTGGCTCGGGAACCGGACTAGAGACCGCCTCAGAGAGCTGGCTTGATTCCGACGTTCCGTGGCTGAGCATGTCAGCTCCAGTTCCGAGCTAGTTCAGCTCCAAGGAGACCCCACTTCCAAGCAATGAAGAAGTGACACTGTGGTGATCTGAGGAACTGGAAGTCATGACCCAACAACCTGTTTAGTGCGGGAACCAATCAGCTTGCTCCTTATACGTGGCTACCAGTCATACTCACGATTATGTTGCTAAAATGGGGGTTGCAATTTTATGGATCCCAAACATTACATGTTGTAACAAAGTTGCACTGTAAACATGGCATTCAATATAAAAGTAAGGAAGTGATGTTAAATTTATACTTGATTGAAGTACAGAGTTTTACAAAAAGAACATAAGAGCCACAAAAAGGATAAAGAGCAGGTCAAAATATTGGTTTACAAATAAGGTTAAAAGTTCTGTACATTTTCCCCTGGAGCAGGGAATGCAAATTACATTCTAGACAGAAATTTCCATGCAAGGTTATTATTATTATACAAGGTAGCATATATATGTAGAACTCAATTTGTTTTGGATACTCTTAAGTATGGTGATGGGTTTCCATACGTGCCAGGGTGACCAAAGAATCATCCAGAGGCACTTTGTACTGTTTTGATTTTAATAGGCTCAGCATCATACAGTTGTTTAAATAAGCGTTAACCTGAATCACACTGTACAAACCTCATTTCCCAAAGACAACTGCACATTTAAATGGAGAAAAATCATGCATTAAGTGAGCGCCCAAAATTCAACAGAACAGAACTAGGATCTGCTGAACGTTGAACTAATTTTTTCAGAAAGGCACAACTCATTGAAACAAAAACTCACCCTCAGCTCCCGTTTGACTGGCCCTCTCGCTTCCTGCTAGATCGACCAAATTCTGCATTTATGAAAAGTAGTTAGATACAATTTTAAGTTCAAGTATTTGGTATCTGTGGTGGGATAGTGAGGGGAAAAGAAGACTGAAAGTGTGACGCTGGCAGCATCACCAGTCCAGAACCTTGGCGTCTCATTTGACCCTCAACTGTTCTTTCTACCCCACATCCATACCATGACTCTTTCTGCCTTCTCCCACTTCTGCCACAACACCCGGCTCCACCACTGCCTCACCTCTCAGGTTGCCGAAACCCTAATCAACTCACTCATTGAACCAAGGCTCGACTATGCCAACTCCCTGCTTGTCGACCTTCCCAACTCTTCCCTTCACAAGTTCATTCAGAACTCTGCAGCTCGTGTCCTCTCCAGACCATGTTTCATGACTCTATCACCCCCACCCTCACCTGGCTCCCCATCTCTCAGAGGGAAGTTCAACATTCCCATCCTCGCCTTCAAAGCTCTCCCTGACCTTGTTCTTTCCTACCTCTACAATCTGCTAACCTCATATCAACCTGTCTGGTCAGCAGGCAATGGCCTGCCCATGTCCCCTGCCCAAGCATCGGTGGTCAGGCCTTCAGCCTCTCTATCCCCACCCTTTGGAACTTCAATCCCTTAGCCTTGTTCCCTCCCTTGCCTCCTTCTAGGCGCATCTCAAGACCCTCCTCTTTGACCACACTTTTGATCACTCTCCTACCCTACCCCTCCTGACCTAACTCATTCGCTCTCCTTGTAATCAGGCATTTCCTGCCCCTGCAATCACCACGTGATCAGATAACTTGCTCTCTTCTCTATAAGTTGATGTTACACCCCTGGGAAGGAGAAAGTGTTTGGGTGCTGATGTGCAGTGTTCTGTTTGATGTAAGCGCAGGAAACAAAGTTCTGACTCAGCAGCTGGTAAGTTTGCTAGTAGCAAGTGAGGTAATGGGGTTACGAGTTGTGTGATTGATACAACTAATGCATTTTTATAAAACACTAATTAGGCCTCAGCGAGAGACTGTGTTCGGTTCTGGGTCCCGCACTTTAAGAAGGATGTCAAGGAATTGGAGAGGATGCAAAGGAGATTTACCAGGAATTCAGTTATCAGGAGAGGCTAGAGAAGCCGGGATTATTCTCCTTGGAGCAGAGAAGGTTAAGAGGAGACTTATTAGAAGTTTTCAAAATTTTGAGGGGATCGATAGGGTGAACAAGGAGAAACTATTTCCACTGGCAGGTGGGTCGGTAACCTGAGAACCCAGATTTAAAATAGTTCTTAAAAGACACAGTGAGGAGAAATGTTTTCCCACAGCGAGTTATTCAGCTCTGGAATGCATTGGCTGAAAGGGCGGTGGAAGCCGATTCGATCACAACTTTTAAGAGAGAAGTAGATAATTATTTGGGGAGGACAAGTTTGCAGAGCTATGGGGAGAGCACGGGCGAATGGGATCGATTTGGATAGCTCTTTTCAAAGAGCCGGCACAGACACAATGGGCCCAATGGCCTCCTTTGTTTGTATAATTCTATGATAAGTTTAAGTGGACCTAATGGGAAATTTACCGGTCTTGGGCAAATGTATGACTTGGGCAATTATATGATTTATAAAGAACTTCAGTGAGTTTTACTGCGTATATCAGCCTTCAGTGTCTCGAAGAGCTTAAAACAATGACCACAACTCACCAAATGAGCAACCTTTACTGCTTCGTCGATCGATTCCGGCATTGAACCATCATTTTTCTCTCTGCTTTCCAAGATCTGAAAAGTACAGATGTGTGAATTGTATTTCACATAACTCTGGCTTAAACTCTGCTGTTAGGCTATAACAATGGGAAAACAGGTCAAAGGCTCCACCCCCCTTGAGTGTGGGATCCCTACATTCAAAGATGATATATAATAACCCTTGTATTTAATATAGCACTTTGCGTCTTCAAGACTTCATAGGGTTTACTATTTGCACAATTATTTCCCACAAACAGCCATGGAGTGAATACAAATTTTATTTGGAGGATTGTTGGCCAGGACATTGGGAGAAACTCCCTTCTCTTTCTGAATAGTGCCACGAGATCTTTAACTTCCACTTCAACAGGCAGCCAGGACTTTGGTTTAATCAAAAGACAGCACCTCTGACAATGCAGCACACCCCCAGGACCTCACTGGAGTGTCAGTTTGGACTTTGGGTTTCAAGTTCCAACCTGGAACACACTGATATTAGGAACTTCTCCTGAATTGCATATTCTTCACATCAAAGATAGCTGCATGCTTTTCCTGTCCCCATCTCATGACATTACTCCCATGTCTTCGAGTTACCCCGCATTTTCCACCAATACTCCAATCTCTGCCCCCATCCCTGCACTCCTTTTCTTCCATTTATCCCTCCTCCCTATCAATCATCATCACCCATATGAAGCACACCACCTGCACACCACAGTTAACATGTTTCACTCCTCAGGCACAATCCCACTCCCCTTCAAAACCACTGTCATCATACCCCTTCTCAAACAAAAAAACACCCATGATCTTTCAAATTCTGCAAACTACTAGCCTATCTCAAACTTGCCCTTCATTTTTCAAGTACTGAAACACATTCTCACAGCACCGAGACATCACTCAAGGTTACAAATGATTCCCTCTATCTGTGATCAGGGTTCCCTCTGCCTCCTTGTCATCCATCCTGAACCTCTCGCTGCTTCTAACATGCCACCCTCCTCAACTGCCTCTCCTCCCTCACCACCTACCTCAGTGGGTCAGCCCTTACCTGGTTCAAGTCCTATTTGACCCATCAACACATTTTATCTCCTCCAATGGTTTATCCTCCAGATTACCTGTGGTGTACCCCAAGGCTCTCATTTACATGTTCCCTCTTGTTGACATCAGTGTAGACACAGGATAAACTTTCACGTATGCAGAATGCACCTAATCTATTTTTCCTCCTCACTGCTAGACAAGTACAACCAATGCTCTGACTGCCCGTTTGTCCGTCATCAAGGCCTGGATGAGCACCAACTTCCTGTAGCTGAATATGGACAGCAAGGAAGCCATCTTCTTTTGACTCCCATCAATGTCTTCTCAACTTTGGTTTTGAACACCATAACCTTCTCTGCCTATCCCTAAGACTCACCAAACCTGAACATAACCTTGGCATCAGGTTCAATCCTCAGTTATACTTCCTACCCCATATCCAGTCCCTGACCAGGACTGCCTTCTTCCTTCACCTGCCTTCATCCCATCTTACTTCAAACACTGCTGAAACACTCGTTCATGTTTTCATCACCTATATAATAATTGTAGTGACTGTACATATGATTAGCTTGCAATACTAAATTTCATATACAATGACCCACAACATTTTACTGTAGCTCGTCAACAATCTGAAATGTTACTTTTCTTCAGAACAATGCATAAACATAAAAGCATTTAGAATTAAAAAGTCCAACCATTCTAAAAATAGTATGTGACCGACTGCTGTGTTCATTCATTTTGGTTTCTCCATAATGGCGGTTCTCTGAAAAAAAAGCACAAAAAAGTCAAAACTTCTCTGTCAATAGATTAAATACATTTGCATGAAGATACTTTAGATACATTGTTAGACTTTAGATATACATTTCTTACTTTTCGGATTTCTCCGCAAACAAAAATAGTCAAAATGTATCAATTATGCAACTATAGACTATTTTTGTAAAGATTTAGAAACTTCCCTGTTCAATCCAAATCTAAACTACAATAACTTGCCCTTCATGCACAATTGCACTTTGTACACTGCTTAATAGCTGGGCTGGACACCAAGCGAGGAAGGGAGAGGAGAGAGGGAGAGAAGGCAGTGACCCATAGGGTAGGCTCTGTCAAAGAGGCAAGTCTAAAAAAAAGAGTAATAGACAGTTGTTGGGCAATCATGTGATCTCAAAACTCATATTCGCATGGCATATGCAGGTTTACTTTGACCTTTGTGCGTTTGTTGGTAAAATAAGACGAAAAGCAGGTTGTGCAAGTGGTTTTTGATCATAATATGAGAGATATATATATTTATACACACACATTGCACTCGGTCTGTCCATCTGCACCTCCATTCAGCCAGGAGCGGCTCCTGGATGTAGATGGGTGAGGTCAAATTGCGACTGATAGCGGACTCCAGCCATTCACAAGCTGCTGGAGTTGGTCTGTCAATGGGGGGGGGGGGGGACTACTGGGCACAATGAGGGAGGGAAATCATGATTGATTGACAGCTGAGCCACTTGTGATTGGTTGAAGCCCGTCCATTCACAAGCAGCTCCAGGCTGTCAATCACTGCAAGTCCCCACTAATTGGTCCAGTTCCTATCCAATGAGAACAGCATTGGGAGCGAGGAGGCGTTGCCGAAATTGGGGCGTTTTTCTGCGTTTCTGTGTACAGAATTGTTTCCTTAATCAGTGCATCTCCAGTCCAACTAGGAAGGAGGCAGTTCTTGATCTTGCTTCAGGAAATGAAGTGAAGCAAGTGCAACCGGAGAGCATCCAGGAAACAGCAGCATTACTAGATTGAAGGTACGAATGGAAAAGATAAAGAATTGGCATAAATGAGAACAAGACTTGCATACCTGGAACAATTCAAACAAGTGCCTTCCCTCTCAAACTAGAAAGCTTCTCTGATCATCTAAAACTATCAAACTACCCATCAACAACTTGCACTTATATAGCACCCTCCACACAGGGTAGCATCTCAGAGTGCTTAACAGTGGCGAAGCCTGACTCCAAGCCGGCAGGTGGCCATAAGCGTGGTCGAAGAGGAAAGTGTTCAGGCCGGACTTGAAAGAGGGGAGAGAGGGGACAAGGCGGACGGATGGAGGGAGAGTGTTCCAGAGTTTTGGGGCATAGTGGCTGAAAGCCACTATAGTGGCTGGGGCGAAGGGTACGAAGGACGAGCAGGAGGCTGGTGCCAGTCAAGCGGAGGCACTGGGTGGTGGATTGGGGAGTGAGCAGGTCGGAAAGGAAGGGAGGTGCCAGGGAGTGAATGGGCTTGAACACGAAAAGAGACACTCTGAAGTTTTGCTGATGGATTAAATAGTCTGTTTTGCAGTAAATAAAATATTTTGGATCGAAACTGTTGAAATAATTCACTCTATATTTACATGCAGGACCTGATTTTTTTTTAAAAAAGCAGCTGAAGTAGTAAATAATCATAAATGTATTTGACATAAACTTAAACATTGAAGAAAATAAAATGAATCTCACTTTCTCCTTTCCTTAGCCATGCCATTGCGTCCTCAAAAGTTGCAACTACTTCTTCGTTAAGATCAGCAACATAAACTGTTCTCTGAATGATGAGGAATATAAACAAGAAAATCAATTTAGCAAAGTGAATACATTTCGCAAAAGCTTCTATTTAAAACAGACATTCAAACAAAAATAAAACGTTGAGGCCATTTGTCTTAGATCGGACAGTGCAAGTAAAACATAATATAATAATAATAATCCTTGCATTTGATATAGCGCTTTTCACGTCAGGAGGACGTCCCAAAGCGCTTCACAGAATATACTGTAAAGTGAATTGACTGTATATTTGTGGGCGAACGCGGCAGCCAATTGCGCACAGCAATGTCCCACAAACAGTCGTAGATTGAAAGTGACCAATTTATTATTGCTTTTGGTTTTGGAGGGATTATTATTAGGCTCTGTGTGGAGTAAGGAAACTTGCCCAAGGTTTTGCCCTCTGCCTGGAATTGAACTCAGGTCTCTCGCTTGCAAAGCGAATGCTCTAACCACTGAGCTACAGGACTCCACATAGTGAGTTCTAAGGACCAATAAAGAACTGTTGTGTTTTCTAAAAAGTGGATCTCGAGTCTCTGTTAAATTCGAGGGAGAGAGAGACACACACAAACAGGTTACTGCAGAAGTCAGTTATCTGGTAGTGCAAAGGGGGCAGGTGTAGGTTTTGGAGGAGAAAACAACTGTAGATTGTGAGGGGCACGGAGAGCTGTACAGGGTGTGAATGTGGGAAGGGGTGGGGCGTTACCTTTAAGAGATAAGCCTCGCGGACAGAGTGGGTGATGGGACAGATGACCATCGATGATTACTCAGGCTGGAGCAGGGGGAGGCAGTGGAAGAGAGAGGTGAGGAAGGCTGAAAGAGAGAAGAACTGAATGCAAGTAGTGAATACTTACCTGAATATCTTCTCTAATTTCTAAGGGTTTTCCTTTCTGCTTAACCAGTAAATCAGTCACATTCTCGTTATAAATCTCCATATAAGAAACACGCAGCAGAAATTCTCTGTTTGGCACCTGCAGGGTTTTTGGAACAAGAACAAGTAAGTATCTGTGATAAAACTAGCAAAACTAAGTTACTTAGTACAAGTTTATCAAGTAAGTTAACAAAAAAAAGATAAATGGGTTCAGCAAAAAAATATATCACGATAGGACTGATGAACACAATTCGCTAGGCAGAGCAGTTAATATAATACCAAGAGGGCGAGGGGCACAGTGTAGATGGGAAGGTCTGGCGGGGGGAGGGAGGGGTCTGGCGGAGGGGGTGCGGGTCTGGCGGCGGGGTGGGGGAAGGGTCTGGCGGGGGGGCTTTGACAAAATGGCAGCCCTGTGCACCAGCTCTGCAAGATGGAGGGAGAAACCGGGAAGGTGTATACTGTCGGATCCTGTGGTTGAATGCCAGGGCATGAAAACATGAAACATTACTTACGCCCTCAATAACTTTAAATAGCTTGTGAACGGTCAGTGGAATAATTCCAGGAGATAGTTTACTTCCCATCATTGTGTAAGTTTTTCCAGAAGACGTTTGTCCATAAGCGAATATAGTACCTGACAAAAAACAAACTTTATTTTTTAAAAAATCAAAGGTGTATAAAGTTATATTGACTCAACTACACCTAAAATCACTGTCCAGCAGTTTTAATTTTGGATCTTGACTGGTGAGTAAAAAAAATTACTGCAGCACATCTTACATTATGAAAAATTCAGCATAAAAATATTTTTGGTCTAACAATGGCCTGGAGCATTGGATTCCAGGCTATTTGAGCAAATTAGGTAAAATACAAAAAAAGGATGCTTACTCAAGGATTTGATTTTCTAAACATGTAAAATCGCTCAACACAACAACTTGTATTTACGTAATGACCTTCATGTAGAAATAATGTGTCAGAGCACTTTACAATAGCAGAGTGGGCCTCAAGCAGCTGGGAGGAGCAGAAGAGGTGACCAAATGCACAGTCAAATACATTGGTCAAAGCCAATGTTTGATAGAACCGGAGGGCTCGAAGGAGGGAGTTCCAGAGAAAACTTATGTACTAAAGATGACCAGGATTCTTTAGAAATGACATCCAGTTTGTGTAACATTTAGCAGAAATTAAATCCATATGCAGAACAATATCTGTAATAAAGCACTTTCTCACCAGAGAAAGTAAATATCAGTGAATTCAATCTTGAGAGAAAACAGTTCACAGGGGACCTCATAAAGGTGGATAATATTTTAAGAATTGGATCTTCTGCCTTGGTTCTCTGTTTCTGCTTGCATGTCAGCTTGGTTCAATTGGTAGCACTCTGACCTCTGAGTCAAAAGGTTGTGGGTTCAAAGCCCTACATCTGGACCATGGCCTCTCCGTGTTGAGGCTGATACTCCAGAGCAGCACTAAGGATTGGGGTGGTTGGGGGGTGCTGCATTGTTGAAGGTGATGCCCTTTGGGTAAGATATGAAACTAAGGTCCTGCTGCCTGTTCAAGTGGACGTTAAAGATTCCATGGTACTAGTCAAAAAGAATATTGATCTGGGTTTACTTATTCAATCCCAATTATAATTCTACACACCTCAATGAGGTGCTCTCTAAGTAGTCTTCTACCAAGCCAAACTGCCTAACACTTTCTGGAATTAGTTGAGCAGGATTCATTCCTCCGTGGAGTCTGCATTCCCTGCTGGACGAGAGGAAGTTCCATGTACCGAGGCATATATTCATGTGTGGAATTCTCAGTCTAGTTTGGATGCACTTAAGCAGGGTGATTGATGGGTGTCCAGCTGAACAAAACAAGTGCAGGAAGTGATATTTGCAGTGACCCAGTGGTTCAGATGTCCGACATTTATTTCTTTATAATTTTTTTTGCGTAATAATGGGGTTATCTTATACAATAACGTGACAACTAATGTGAGTTTAATACTACTATTCGAACATAAATTTATTGATACTTAAAATAAAAAACACTCACCATTGTAGCCTTGGACAGTGGAAAGGACAAGAGAGTGTGCGACTTCATCATATACAGTTTGTGTTGACTCTCCAGCATGGAAGACTCGGTCTAGAAGGAACCACAATTCAGAAACGTGGAAACTATTAGTAGTTAAACTAACTTTAAAAAATCCTTATTCCTTGAAATGTATGATCTTATGATCATTAATCACTGAATTTAGTTATGGACGAATAAAGGTAAGTCAACTATATGGAACACAGTAAACATCACACAAGTCGTATCAGTTGGGACCATACAGTTCATTTAATATGATTTATGCAAAGTATGAGTTATGTCAAACATGCATAAGTCATATCACATATGACTTGTATAAAGTTATGTATAAGTCGGATTTGATATGACTTACACATAAATAAACAAGTACTGAATTGGCTGGTGACATTAAGGCAATGTTTCAAAATGGAAATTTTCAGACCGATCATTTTCCAGTACAACCATTTTCATGTACTCTTTCACCTGTTTTATTATCTCTAAATGTTCTATTTGAATGTTCCTGCTGTCTTCCCTGATTTTATTGTATTTTTCTTGCAGTGGGAAATGATACAAATGTGTGAATTATGTAAGAGTTGAAGGGACATGTTAAGAGTCCACTTAATTGTCTCAGTTATAAAAAGAGATATGTGCAGCCTTATACTTTACACAGCCGTTAGTTGGAGGACACCTGAAAAAAGCGAGTGAGTACAACACTGCTCTTATAGCCACAAGGCTGTGCTCCAGTCATGACATGAATGGGCAGAATTCCCATTCATAATACAGAGATGGGTCCCCTTTGCTCTACACAAGATCAGGCATCTCCTGCGCCCTCGCTCACCGCTTGATCAGGTGATGCTTTTTCCTCTCTCAGCTCCACCGTCCCAGTGATGATGTTGTCGTTACTCTCTTGGGAGTAACAGCAAAAAACTCATTTGGTGCTTTGTACCAGTGAGCTGCGAAGACCTACACAAGGCCATTTTGCATTTCACCCAAGCATCATGCTCTGATGTTCAGATCAACAGATCAGATCAGAAGTAGTGAAATGAGATAAAGGTGAAGCGAAAGGAGAATAATAAATGGATGTTGGAGGTACAAATCAATACGAAAGTGTGCTGATGTGGGTGAAAATATTTTTGTGTAACATGAAAAGAAATCATGATGGAGAAAGGAATAGGAGGGTATAAGGAATAGGTGGAGACTCATGTGCAGTGAAACATCAGAATGGACTAGTTGGGCTGAATGGCCTATTTCCGTGCTATAGTCTTTGTGAGAGTGACTTTGTAAAGTTACAAGTGATCCTCGTCGCTTAACTAACCTGTTCATACAAATGCATTCTCATATCTCACAAACGGTTCAGATGCTCCAACTGAACCACACAAAGTTGTTATTGAAAGCTCCATGGATTTCTTCCACGAAATAACCAAATACCCACAACAAACAAAAGAAGGTTCATCAGAAGACGCCTCCTGAGAGCTTACCAAAACTGAATGATTTGGTTCCATCAATCTGACAAAGGCTTTGTTCATCTTGTTTCCAATGAACCGCAGGAGGCTCTCCGCTCTCTCTAACACACACAAAAGAGGAATGCAATCGGTTTCTGAAAACTGGGGAAGGGTGGATCGGTGGGCGGGGGGGGGGGGGGGCGGGGGGGGTCCGGTGGGTGTGGGGGGGGGCCGGTGGTGGGTGTGGGGGGGGGTCCGGTGGTGGGTGTGTGGGGGGGGGTCCGGTGGGTGTGGGGGGGGGGTCCGGTGGGTGTGGGGGGTCCGGTGGGTGTGGGGGGGTCAGTGTGTGGGGGGGGGTCAGTGTGTGGGGGGGGTCAGTGTGTGGGGGGGTCAGTGTGTGGGGGGGGGTCAGTGTGTGGGGGGGGTTCAGTGTGTGGGGGGGGGTCAGTGTGTGGGGGGGGGTCAGTGTGTGGGGGGGTCAGTGTGTGGGGGGGGGGTCAGTGTGTGGGTGGGGGTCAGTGTGTGGGGGGGGTCAGTGTGTGGGGGGGGTCAGTGTGTGTGTGGGGGGGTCAGTGGTGTGTGTGGGGGGGTCAGTGTGTGGGGGGGTCAGTGTGTGGGGGGGGTCAGTGTGTGGGGGGGGGTCAGTGTGTGTGGGGGGGTCAGTGTGTGTGGGGGGGTCGGTGTGTGTGGGGGGGTCAGGAACTTCAGGATGGAGTTCCAGAAGGTGAGGGGGGGAGCGAGGTGGGGGTGTGGAGCCGACCGGAGCCCACTGAGCGGAGGGAGGGAGCGGGCAGGATGGCGGGGGTTAGGTGGTCGGAGAGGTGAGGGGGAGAGGTGAGGGGCGGGGGGGAGGGGAGGGGGGACAGCAAGACCGTGAAGGGTTTGTAGATGGGGCCCAGGATGGGGTGAGGATGAGGGATGGGGTGAGGATGAGGTGAGGGATGGGGATGGGGTGAGGGATGAGGTGAGGGATGGGGATGGGGTGAGGGATGGGGTCCCGCTCTGGAGGAGGAGGAGGAGGTATTTTCAGAAACTGACCTTTGGAAGAGCGGCTTCAAACGAATGCAAACCTTCACGGCGGCGGCGGTGTCGTCTCCCGCAGCGCTCTCCATCCTCAGCCTCGCGCCGCTCCGCCGCTTCAGATCACCAACCGCCGCGACCCGTTTAAATCTCGCTCCGCTCCACTCTGATTGGTTGCCGCAGACCGGAAGCCAAAGGGGGAGGCGGGACATGCACTGCCGGAAACAAAGCGGATTGACCAATCAGTGAGCAGTTCATCCTCATTCCAATCATTAAACGTTAGTCAAACATTGGGAGGTCACACATGGGGGGTCACACATGGGGTCAATCATGGGGGGTCACACATGGGGTCAATCATGGGGGGTCACACATGGGGTCAATCATGGGGGGTCACACATGGGGGGGTCAAATGTAGGGGTAGTCAAACATGGGGCGTCAAACATGGTGGTAGTCAAACATGGGATCAAACATGGGTGGGGGGGTGTCAAACATGGGTGGGGGGGTGTCAAACATGGGTGGGGGGGTGTCAAACATGGGGGGGGTGTCAAACATGGGGGGGGTGTCAAACATGGGGGGGTGTCAAACATGGGGGGGGGGTGTCAAACATGGGGGGTGTCAAACATGGGGGGGGTGTCAAACATGGGGGGGGTGTCAAACATGGGGGGTGTCAAACATGGGGGGGGTGTCAAACATGGGGGGTGTCAAACATGGGGGTGTCAAACATGGGGGGGGGGGTGTCAAACATGGGGGGGTGTCAAACATGGGGGGGGGGTGTCAAACATGGGGGTGTCAAACATGGGGGGGGGTGTCAAACATGGGGGGGGTGTCAAACATGGGGGTGTCAAACATGGGGGGGGGTGTCAAACATGGGGGGGGGTGTCAAACATGGGATCAAACATGGGTGGGGGGTGGAAGATGTTCAGTGAATTCTTGATTTGGAAAATTGGGCAAAAAAATAAATAAGCTGTCAATAATCTCCAATCACATCTTCCAGACTTGAGTTGAATTGACATTTGTTAGATTAGGGTATTAAGGGATATGGGAGGACTGTCAAGGCTTTGGACCTGAGCTGGACCTGGGAATCAGGAGGGGGTGGAGGCAGGGAGGGTGGGAATAGGAGCTCGATTGAATTAGCGGTCGAAAAGGCCATCTTGACATGGGCCTTGAAGGAGGCATGGGAGGGAGCGAGGCATAGGGAATGGAGTTCCAAGTGGGGTGGCAGAGAGTCCCACAAACAGTCGTGCATTGAGTAACCAAATTATTATTTATTTACTTATTTTTGGAGGGATTATTATCCCTGGAAAAGAGATCCGCCAATCAACTAACAACCGGGTTCCTACTTACTGGTGGGTAAACAGAGGCGTGTGGAGTAAGGAAACTTGCCCAACATTTCACCCTGCCTGGAAATCGAACCCAGGTCTTTCTTGTTGGTGAGGCAAGTGCTCTAACCAATACCCCACAGGACTTCACTGTGGCATATTGGTTAGAGTACGGTATCTCATATGCAGAAAACATGTACTGTACAAAACCGGTCTTCCGTACCTGTTGACTGTTCTGTATTGTGCATGTGATTTTTCGGCATTGTCTGCAAGTGGTGACGCAGAGCACTGCACATGCTACTTCAAGGCTGATAAGTGCTCATGCGATGAAGGGTCCCCTTCACTCTCCACATAATTGCCCCCCACCTAGCTCACCATACATCAGGTGATGCTCTTTCCTTTCTCAGGCCCCAACCCTTCCGTGTACGATGATGTTGATGGTATGCGCTGCCCACCCCCCCCCCCCCCCCCCCCGAGTGGGAGGGAGGGTCCGGAGAGTGTGGGGATGCAGTGACACGTTTGAGATAGGCACGGGAAATAAAGTTTTGACCCTGCAGCCGGTAAGTGTGGTAGCGGCCAGTGCAGTAGCAATGTTACGAGTTATGCTGTGGTAAACACGACGATTGCATATAAATTTAAGTGGATTTAATAGGAAATTGAATGCGCCTCGGGTAGATGTACGACTTAGGTGCATGCACAATTTAAATAGAGACAACCTGTGCAAGCTTTACTGCAATAATTGTTGCATTTGATATAGTGTCTTATTGAGATATCACAAGGAGCTTCACAGGATTTACTGTAGCAACCATATTTTTTATATAGGCGAACACAGCAGCCAATCTGCAACAATAATGTGCTACCATATTGTTGTAGGACAGTGTGGACCAACTGGCGGCCCGCGGGCCACATCTGGCCCAGTGGGTGGTTTTATCCAGCCCGAGACCATTTCTAACATTTCAATTTTCGTTCCCTCAAACCCGAGTATCCTCCCAGGGCAGTGGCAGGAGCCGGCGGTTATGAGGACGCAGCGTGGAGAGTGAAAATAATACCTGCCATTGCTGCAGTCTGTCAAGAAGGCAAGTGCATCTCTTACCAACTGCATCCTTAGCGACCGCCGGCTCCTGCCACTGCAGATAGTGACCAGCACGGCTGATTGAGAGAATGATTGAGAGGGTGGTGGGAGAGGTGGGGGTTGGTGGGTGGGGGGGGGAGAGGGGGAGAGAGAGAAGAGGAGAGTATATGTATGTGAGAGAGAGGTAAGAAAGGGTGAGGTAGAGAGAGTCTGTGTTTGGTGGGTGGGCTCGAGCGTGTGATTGAGAGCGAGAGAGCTGTGAAAGATTGAGAATGTGAGGGGGAGAATGTGAGAGAGTATTAAAGCTGTGGTAGCCCATTCTTTCTATATACAGTACTGCACAGTACTGTACCTCGTGGAGATAACGTACTGTATCATGAATGGGAAAAAAACCAAACAGGTTTCAAAACAGAATTGTTTTATTAGAATACTAGCTGTACCTATTGCAGCTTCGCTTGTGACCAAAGGATCCAACATGGAATGTAGATTGACACACAGACAGACATTTCATCTTAATCTATACTCATCATCTGGGAGGACTCCTTTTGGGAGGACTCAGTGGGCGGACTCGGCGCTTTAAAAATGTAATTTTGTTGTTGTTGTCGTGACTTAGCTTTGTCTGTGTTCTTTATTTTGTTCCCGCCGCTTACGTGCTCTGTGACGCAGGATGCCACAACACCACTTTGACTCGGCAGCCACCAGGTGTAATTGCAGTGAAAAACGCAAAACTGAAAATAACTCATGAACGATAGGAAATACCCGAAAATAAATAAATGTTGCAAGACCTTTCCGGTGAGGTAGAAATCATGTCTATGTGTCAATTGAGGTCCTTCTTGAAGCGCAGACATATATTGTCGTTTTATTAGTATATAATAGATAATAGATAGAAGATACACTCTTACAAAGAAGGATGGTATTAACACTGTAACTGAATTATCAATCACTTTTTAAGATGTTAAATCAGATATAACCACTTAATTCACTCTGCCTGATCGCCCCCATTCAAATTCCGCGGCTGCAAATCACATTGAGGGGCAATGTCCATTTTCATTTCAGGATTTGCCTCGCAAAACTGGAGAATCTGGAATTTCTAATCGATCCTTATCAATAATTTGTGTTTAATTAGCCTAATCTGCATTGCCTGATAGCTGGTCAAACCCTCATCTTCGGTACATGTGTGCAGTACAGAACAGGAAACTGTTACTGTTAGTGAGGTAGCAGGGTTACGAGTTGTGTGACTGTTAATACGACTAGTGCAGGTAAGTTTAAGTGGATTTAATAGGAAATTGAACGGGACTTGGGCAGATTGTACAATTTAAACAGATCAGACTTACGTGAGTTTTACTGTACAGCCCAATAATTAAGAGTGTCTGTGGGGCAGGGGAGAGTGTGGGGGAAGGAGAGGAAAGGGTTCAGTGATTATGTGTAGGCAATGAGCTGAGGAAACAGTGCGTGTGGGCTCTGATAACTTCAAGTCATCTCCAGGCCCCGGCCAAACTTGACCACTGGGATAGAGACTAGAGTCACTGCTGGACCTGCACAGAGTGGGGAGGAGGCTGAGGCTCAGCGGAAAACATGTTGGTCCAACTTCCTGCTTCAAAACAGAAATCATTGAAAAATAACAGATCATTTGTAAAATCAGTGAGGTGCAAAGACTCATTTATTATGGCTGTTAGAAAAGAGGAGTTGGATAGGACCAGTGTGAACATCACTAACTTAAATAGTTAAACTATTGTACATTGTATTGTTTCACAGTGCAAAACTTTTTAGTAAAATGTCAACATTTTGTAAATAGTCTACTTGGCTAATCATTGCAAACAAATGGTGATTAACTAGAATTGATGAGAATTGATGTGATTTGGATTCACAGATGTCCTGGTTACCCGGAGACTGCTTAGATTCTTGTGAGATTTAGCTCAACATTCTTCAAGCTTCTCAATAACAACATCTTCCTTGAGTTTCCTGAAATGTAGAGAACATCAGTTGTGCTGAAATCAAAATCTTAATTGAATTGTTGTTTAATATGATTGTTGTTCAAGCTGATGTTCAAACATTTCCCATTTTACTTATGTCACATAACAGGTCCTCTTAAAGAACACAGAACTGCTCTTAAAGAAACTAGAGATGTGTGTTTATGTTTACACGCATAATGTGTAAACGCTTTGCAAGGAGAGACCTGGGTTTGATTCCCGGCAGGTCAGGGAGAAACCTTGGGCAAGTTTCCTTACTCCACACGCCTGATAATAATTCTTCAAAAAAAAATAATGAATTGGTCACTTCAATCCACGACTGTTTGTGGGACACTGCTGTGCACAATTGGCTGCCGCGTTTTGCCCACAAATGTTCAGTCAATTCACTTTACAGTATATTCTGTGAAGCGCTTTGAGACATTGAGAAGGCGTGAAAAGTGCTATATCAAATGCAAGGATTACAAAATTAAACACGCATTGCTGTGCAGTGATCTTAGCTGCTTGATTTTAAGCATCTTCAAAACTGAACACATTCCTATGTGGGGCATCCAAAGCTGTGCTCCCTGATGACTAAATAAACTGGGATTAAAATGAAACAGGAAAAGGAGGCTTATGACCTGGTGCAGGAACAGAGAGACCTGGAGATTCGCACATACAAATCTTTGAAGGGTGCAGGACAAATTGACAAAGCTGTTCTAACAGCATACATGATCCATGGCTTTATAAATAGAGACAGAGTATAAGAACAGGGAGTAAAGTGTCCAATTCTGGGCACCACACTTTAGGAAGGATGTCAGGACCTTGGAGAGAGTGAAGAGGAGATTTACTATAATGATACCAGAGATGAGGGACTTCAATTATGTGGAGACACGAAAGTGGCTGCGATTGTTTTCCTTTGAGCAGAGAAAGTTGAGGGGAGATTTAATACAGAGGTTCAAAATCATGAGGGGTTTTGACAGAGTAGATAAGGAGAAACTGTTTTCTTTAGCAGGTGGGCAGTAACCAGAGGACACAGATTTAAAATAATTGGCAAAAGAAACAGAGGGGAGACCAGGAGAATTTTGTTTACCCAGAGAGTTGTTACAGTCTGAAATGCACTGCCTGAAAGGATGGTGGAAACAGATTCGCTAATAGCTTTCAAAAAGGAATTGGACAGATACTTAAAAACGCGCAAGGTATGGGGTAAGAGCGGGGGAGTTGGTAGCTATTCACAGGCGCGATGGGTCAAATGCCCTTTTTGCTGTAAGATTTTACGATTCTGATTACATCACTGCGGATGTGATGGATGTAATGGTTGGTTTGTGTGTGCTGTAACACTGTCGGATACTTTAACTCAATGCTATCTGCCTTGCATTGCTGCGCTGCTGATGTTCAAACATTTCCCATTTTACTTATGTCACACGGCAGCTCCTCTTAAAGAACACAGAACTGCTCTTAAAGAAAGCAGAGATATGTGTTTATGTTTACCAGTTAATGAAACAGAGCATGCATTCATTGTCATAGGTCACACCGTCAGATCCACAGACAGGCCGGAAGTTCAGTGGACAAGCTGGGAACATTTCTCTGTACTTCTCACAGTTTGGCTGGAATAGAAAACACAATCACTGCAGTTGTTCAAAAAGAAATGCGCACAAAGTAAAATGAAAGTTTAAGGCACACGGTTTACCTAAAACATTAAAGATCATCTTACCTCAATGACTGTGACATATTTTCTGGCCTCTTTAAAATTATGCAAAGGGTTAAAAAAAGGTTAGGTTAATTACTTAATCATCAAAACAAATATAATAACAATCCTTATGTTTTACACAGAACTCTCTCCCTCAATCCTTTCGCCTTGCCCACACTCTCCTCATTTTCAGGTCGCGTTTAAAGACCTTTCTGTTCAACCGTGCCTACGGTCACCTTCCCCCCACCACTGACTCGGCATCAGGCTCCGCCACTGTTAAACACTCTGAGACGCCTTCCGGCGTGAAGAACGCTATATACATGAAAGTTGTTGTACAATACATTCCAAAACATTGAGTATAAACACTAAGAAAACATGTTACAAATCAGGATTTAAACATTTATACAAATAATATAATCTCTCCCAGTTTTAATTTCCTTTATGTTCATATTGAAAGATATTATTGCTCTCTGGGTCACGCTGGAAACCTCACATAAGTCATATCATTTGGGACCATACATTTAATATGACTTATGCAAAGTGTGTCAAACTTGCACAAGTCGTACCATATATGACTTATGTACAGTTGTTGGATTTTGTTATGATCCAACATAACAAATACACAAGTACTGAGCTGGCTGGTGACACTAAGGCAAAGGTTTCAAACTGGAAATTTTCAGACCCATCATTTTCCAGAACAATCATTTTCATGTACTTTTCAACCTGTTTTATATTCTCTAAATGTTTTATTTGAATGTTCCTGTTGTCTTTCCTGGCTTCTCTTCTCAGCGGGCTTCGATCTGCTCCATGTCCGCCGCCCATCCCATCCCACCCCACCATCGGAGAGCAAGTTTTTAGCCTCTCTGCCCACACCCTTTGGAACTCCATCCCACAGTCCTTCCACCTTGCTCCCTCCGTTGCCTCCTTCAAGGCCCATCTCAAGACCTTCCTCTTCGACTGTGCTTTCAGACACCCTCCTACTCCCAGCCTTCACATGATCCCAACCACAGCTCGCGTGCAAATCTCTTAACTGTTCAGCACCGTGGGACGTCCTCCCGATGTGAAAGGTGTTTTACAAATGTAATTTGTTGTTCTTGTTTTATTGTATTTTTCATATTCATGCAATACAAAATTACATTTGTACAGTGCCGTTCACATCAGGAGGATAATACAGTGTTCAGATTCGCCATTTTAATACAAAATCATATGTTGAAATAAAGACCCGGAAAGTTAGAACTATGGGCTAAGAGGAAAGGAACAGTTAATTTGGAAACTTAGCTACACTTAATAATAATAATAATAATAATAATAATAATAATAATAATAATAATAATCCTTGCATTTGATATACCGCTTTTCACGTCGGGAGGACGTCCCAAAGCGCTTCACAGAATATACTGTAAAGTGAATTGACTGTATATTTGTGGGCGAACGCGGCAGCCAATTGCGCACAGCAATGTCCCACAAACAGTCGTAGATTGAAAATGACCAATTTTATTATTGTTTTTTTTTGAAGGGATTATTATTAGGCTCTGTATGGAGTAAGGAAACTTGCCGAAGGTTTCGCCCTCTGCCTGGAATTGAACTCAGATCTCTCGCTTGCAAAGCGAGTGCTCTAACCACTGAGCTACAGGACTCCACGTGAGATTGAAGAGGTAGAATCGATAGACGGAACTATTGAGACAGATGGATGATAAAGATAAGAAAGTAGAGTGAAGAAGCAGAACAAAGGTGTGGTAAAGACAGAATAACAGCGGGGGGGGGGGGGGGGGGACGAAAACAAGATGTGGGGCCCTGCACTACACATCCTGAGATGTTTTTGAGACCTTGGTGACCTGGTTATATGGCTCAAGGTTTGACAAATGATTGGATGAAAGGGGGCATAAAAGACCCCGTTGAGAAACTTTGGAAAAGAAGAAGGAAGACTGCAGCAGTCTGCAGGCCAGATAGAAAATTGAAAGCTGGAAGACTTGGAACCGCTTTGCTTAAGACAGAAGATTGAAAGCTATAAGATTCGAAAGTGCTTTGCTTTAGACGGAAGATTGAAAGCTGAAAAACCTGAAACAACCTACTAGAACTTGGTAATATGGTTTGATTATTTGTATACAAGTATATAGTCTTATGTAACCTTATATGTGTGAGTAGCAGGCAATTGGCAGAGTGTATTAAACTATTGGGATTCTGAGTATTAAAAGAACCAATATAATCCATTTAAGCGTGTCTCTTATTTGGATTTTCTAACAACAGAGACGAGTTCCCTTCTCTCTCTCCTCTCTCAGCCCCGCCACCCCCACCACCCCCTCTCCCCCCACTGCCGTGTGCGATGATGTTGATGTTGCTCCTCGGGAGGACGGGTGCGAAGATTGTTGGAGTAAGGATGTGCGGTAGTCTGTTTGAGGTCGGCGCGGAATCCACATTTTGACCCGGCAGCCTGTAAGTATTTCGAGTTGTAAAGGCCAATTTCAGGCCAGATACCAGAATTTCTTTCTTTACAAAGTGCGTAATCAACTACTGGAAAAAAGGGAGTTAATTGATAATGATAACAACAACAACAACAAAATTACACTTATAGGGCGCTTTTCACGTCGGGAGGACGTCCCAAGGCGCTGATAATAATCATTCATTAGAATTATCATTATTGGAAATGCAGTATCGCGAAGCAGTTAAAGGGGCGAGTTGATAAGACTACCAGTCCTTTCAGACCCAATCACCTTCAACTGTGCTACGCTTTTCAGAAATCATCTTACGTCCAATATTGTAATTCTTTTATTTTTCTCTCTCAGCTTATGTCCCCCACAGTCCTGACCCAAACCAACCTGGGATATTTTTACATTATACAATAGCGCATCTTAAAGTGGAAAGGCTGTTTTGCAGGTACAGACTAACACCTATAAAATAGAAGCAAATAAAAAACCTAATGTTAGAAATCAAAATCCACAAAGGAACTTACCCACAGCACAGACGAGGAACATGGAAACCAGAGCAAAAGCTGGCAAGGATTTCATGTTGCTGCAGCAGAAATGTTGACTGTTGTTAGTAATTGTCTGCGTGTCTGTCAGTGTAAACTGCTGATACCGGTGCTGGTTTATATAAAGGAAAGGCTGGTCAATGACTCATTGAGGAATGTGCAACATAGAATGAATGTGTCAACCAACAGATAAAGAATTACACGTGTTTCAAGTGTTTCCGTGTAAAGCAATGGTTTTACTCAAACACAGGATAAAGCTTATTCAAGGATCTTCTAATATTACTATTCACTGAGTACAGGGAGTGCTCTTTGCTTATCTCGTTCCTCCCAAATACTGACATAATAATAACATGTTTTTATATAACAAAATTACATTTGTGTAGCACCTTTCACGTTGAGAGGACGTCCCAAGGAAAAGTACTGTCCCTTCCCCACAGTACTCCTTGTCTCATGAGAAGGTGATGTCTCTTCTGGAAACCTCCTTTCCTGGAATTATAATAATGATCCTTGTATTTGACACAGTGCCTTATCACATCGTCAAGACGTCTCAAAGCGCTTCACAGAATATACTGTAAAGTGTAGTGACTGAATTTTCTGAGCGAAAAATTGGCAGACAATTGCGCACAGCAGTGTCCCACAAACAGTCATGAGGACACCTGTAGCTCAGTGATTAGGGCACTTGCCTCTCAAGCAAGAGACCTGGGTTCTATTCCAGGCAGGGCGAAATGTTGGGCACATTTCCTTACTCCACACGCCTCTGCCTTATCTAGCAGTAAGTAGGAACCCGATTGGCAAATCTCTTTTCCAGGGATAATAATCCCTCAAGAAAAAAAAACAATAATAATTTGGTCACTCAATTAACGACTGTTTGTGGCTGCCATGTTTCACCCATAAATATACAGTCAATATTCACTTTATAGCATATTCTATGAAGCGCTTTGAGACATCTCAAAGACGTGAAAAGCGCTATATCAAATGCCAGGGTTATTCTTCTTCTTCTTATTATTATTATGAGTGACCACGTTATTAGTTCTTTGGGAAGGATTATTATGCCCGGAAAGCGATCCGCCAATCGACTAACAACAAGGTTCACATTCTCACACAGACACTCCCAACACACCCACATACTCTCAGACACACACACTCTCAACATACACACACGCACATCGACACACTCATATAGACACACTCTCATACACTCACTTTCAGTCACACACTCATTCAGACACACACACTCTCAGACACTCACTCTCAGTCACCCACATACGTTCAGCCACACACTCACTCACAGAGCTCCCGGTCACGTCAGGGTGCAACAGCGGCTCTTGCTGGCAGAACTCTATTACCTCTCTGTTAATTCTCTGGTGGTGGCGGGGGGGGGGGGGCTTTTCTTTTTAAGAAAGGGGGTTAACAAAGATAACAATACCCAACATAAAATGTTGTATGTGTGTGGTGGCGAATAGGAGAATAGCATAAAGGGATTCTGGATAGAAAATGTTCAGGCTAACAGGCCATTTGCGGGGGTGCATTTTGGTGTGGTGAGGGGCGGTGGGGGGAGCACGAAAGGGGTTTAAGCACCACATTCACCAGCCGTTAAAATTTTTCCCCTCTGTAGCGGCCTGGGATATCTTCCTGTCTGCTTTGCCGACCTACATAAATAAAATATAAATACATGAATGTATATAAAAAATAAAGGTAAGTGTACACACATGCGCACATCACATTTTGGGACAACTCTGGTTACAAGGCGAGTGTTCCTCTCTACGATCCCCATTTTGAACCCCTCAGTGAGTAGATACCCTGTTATGCAGGGAGATGTGAGGACAGCCAGTGGCCGGGGTCAGGTCCCACCGAGCTTCTGACATTAAAGGTGCTTTGAAAGTATATTGTTGTTGCTGTTGGCCAGGTTAACAGCACACAGGATGTGCACACATTTTTTGGGACGCTCCCTTTAAGTACAGTTTGAAACCCTCCCCGTGTGCACGACGTACATGTGGTACCCGCACATACCCTGACAAGGCGCGATTGCTGATTTCGATTGGCGCTCGATGTGTATTGTACACGCACACGTTTACCCAATAAAAAAAACCTGAAAACATCGCAAACACAACACCGTACACGTACACTAATCAACCCAACCAGTCCTGCTCCTGTCACCGCAGTCTCCCCGCCGAGGTTCTGTTCCCTTTATCTACAGGACGGTGAGCCCTTACCTCCCTCTCTGCTGCTCTCCCCTTATGGGAAGAGACAGGCAGACATACATACATTTTCGGGCGCTTTTTGGTTACACATCGAGCGTCTCTCTGTACATTACATGGCTACACACATATTTAGTTTTGGGTTTGCTGGTGAGTTACCCAGTGAGCGCGCCCTGATGCCCCCCTTCCCCTGGTAGGGACCCTGACACGTGGGGGTGTGACGCGGATGTGAGAGTGGCTAGTGCAGGAGCGGTTCCGGCTTGTCTTTGCCGCGGCTGAGCCGAACTTCAGCGTGTCCCTTAGTGCGTAGCCCCTGATCCTAGCGTGCGTGAGCCTGAGGCAGGCCGTCTCCAACAACTCGTCCCTCTGGAAGCCATCAGGTCTCGGGAACCAAAAGGCCTCCTTCACCCAGTTACTGATCCACCAGGTGATTAAGTGTGTCTGTGGGTGTAGCTGTGTGTGTCTGTGGGTATGGCTGTGTCTGTGGGTATGGCTGGGTTTGAGTGTGTCTGTGGGTGTGTGTGTCTGTGTAAGTCTCTGGGAAGAGGCTGTCAGCACTAAGTGCAGTGACTGCGGGCCCCAGGGACCAATCCCCAGAGCAGCCATTCTACCCCCTTCATGTATCAACATTCCAGGAAGAGGAGGTCCTTGGTCTCCTGGTCTCTGCAGGCGGCCCTGAGGGCAGCACTGACTGGACATGTCCTCGCTGTGCATGGGGAGGGGAGGGAAAGCCCAGCTCATGGCCAGCCACGCCGGGTCCTGATGGTTGTTGCACAGGGCTGGTGACGAGGTGATCTGCTGGATGTGGCTGGCAATGGCTGCCATGAGGCTATTTAGAAGTCTCTGGACAAAGGACAACTATGTGGCATGTTCTGGGGCAGTTCTGCCCGATCCGTCCTCTCGGCACCGGGTACAGTTTAGCTAAATTCGGGGACCTGAGTAAGGGTCTAAGAGGGATCTAGCTCCACTCAAAATTCCCAAACCTTTCCAGAACAGGTAAAATTGTTCAAATGACCTCTTCTGTGTTTTCCAAGTGGTTTTCGTTTATTGAGACTCAGCAGGTTTTTAAAAGTATAAGATTCCACACGTGCTAGTTTTTATTTTTGGGTCACTGTGCTGCATTCGGAAAAAACTGTTTTAGACTATTGTTTGAATAAATGAGAATAGTTTAAGATAAATAAAGTGCCTCCTGACATGAAAGGCACTAATCAAATATAATTTGTTGTTGTTGTGGGATGTTCTTGAGATCCCTCTGACTGGGGTCAAAACTTGGACAAAAATGAGAAGTGAAGGATTGTGACTTTCAGCCTGCACCTGGAACGTGTAATTCACACATACAAAAAAGGATAAGAGTACCATGACAACCCACGCTCTCCTTCTAGGGGGAACATCTTGGTTTCATGCAACAGTAAGAAACAAAGTGAAGCCAAACAAGGTGATGGTGCGGTGGGACACTGGTTTCACTTAGCCGAGTTTCTGACTTCTGTTACTAGCATCGTTCATCAACTGCTCATAAGCATTTTATTCCTTGCCTATGAAGAAAAATCCAAGAACTTTGAGACTATTGAGGTATACACTGCTATCAAATGAAGCTATATTTTACTTTTATAATGTGGAATTTTACAAAAAGTGGCAACATAGATTTCAGTTGGTTATTCAACCCCCGCTTCCATTCCACAGAAACATGTTCTTGCCTGTCCTTTGGACCTCCTGATGACACATTTTCTTCCAGCTGAGTAGCAGGAAGAGGACTGATTTTGAAGGCTCTGACAATTTTGATTCAGCCCCCCATTGAAAGGTGCTCAAGTGCAAAACTCAACAGTGTGGCCTAACAGAAAGAGGGGTCAACATCAGGCCTTTCCCACATTAGGGAAATGAGCACAGATCAGGGTCACATCAACTCCATGTTGCTGCTACACAAAAATGTTCCTTGTCATTCAATTAAATGGATAAACATCATGAAAACTGGGACTAGGGGTTAATCAGTCTTTTCATCTCTGGCACGTGGAATCCTGTAGCTCAGTGATTAAAACACTTGTCTCACAAGCGAGACACCTGGGTTTGATTCCAAGCAGAAGGACAAATTTCCTTACTCCACACACCTGTTTACCTAGCAGTAAGTAGGAACCCGGTTGTTAATCGATTGGCGGATTGCTTTTCTGAGGGTAATAATCCCTTCAAAAAATAATAAATTGGTCACTCAATCCATGACTGTTTGTGGGACACTACTGTGCGCAATTGGTTGCTGGTTTCACCCACAAAATATACAGTCAATTCACTTTACAGTATATTCCTTGAAGTGCTTTGAGACGTCTCAAAGACGTGATAAGGCGCTATATCAATTGCAAGAATTATTATTATGGGCTCAAATCCAGCCCTGACTGATGGGACTTACTTCTTTATGATACATCAATTGTAGTATCAACCTTGTGTAAGATTATATTTGTGATTTTTAATGTTTATTAAGACTTTTAATTACTCTTTATATGCATTTAGAATGTAATCTACCCATAATTCTTTAATAAGGTTTGTTTGATAGAATGACTAGCTTAGCAGGGGTTAAAAGGAGCTTCGCTGGACGGGTTGAGGTCAGCTTCTGATTACATTTCATATTTTCCTGGGAAGATGTTCACTCCTCTGAGATAATGAGCAATCGGGTCCTTGAGCACCGATGTAAGAACAATGGATCACAGAAAAAAAAGGCTACAACCTCAGACACCTGCCATCTCGAGGCTGAGAAACAAACCGGCTGTGGAAGGCTGCCCAGAAGTTGTCCATATCTTTCTCCTTATCAGATATTTTCCCATGCGAAAAGAGCCTGCTCAAAGATTGTTAGCAGCCTGTGAAGGGTGGGGGCTATCTCTGTGACAAGGGGAGGTGGAGTTAGAAACACATAAAAAGATTAATTTTGAAAATAATTGGAGTTGTGTAGAGGGTCAGCACACTTCCCAGTGGAATCGATGTTGATTCTAGCGTATCTATGTATAGTGTACAGGGGTGAGGGAATTTACCTCCAGTAAGAAAGTGACCATGAAAAGTGAAAGAGGAGTAGTGGGTAATATGTTTTTGGTTCTGTTTGCTAGGCAGAGAAGTAATAACAACAGTAGTAGTGGTTGGTCCGTTTGAAACACAGAAGTCAGGTTAGACAGTACAAGTGAGGCGTTGGGCTAAGAGCTGATTGTTTCTTTTGGGTTTCCAGGAGCCACTCGCTGTGACTCAGTGTGATAGCTCTGTGATCTCTCCAGTGTGCTCCCAGGTCTACTGTTTAGTCTGCAGTACAAAACAGTGCTTGGCTACGTGTTGTCGTCCCTATATCGTCGGTACTGCTGTTGCTGCGTACGACTGGTTGGGTCCGAGGGTTTACCGGTCGCTGGTCCGTTTAGTGTATGTGTTACCAGAATCAGTTGTACTTGAGGGATTTCCAGGGGTTGATCTCTGCTGTGTATTTTAAGGTGTGTTGTTTGTCTGGAGTACTGAGCAACCCCTGTATGCATGCTGTGTGATAAATGTTTTGCTCACACAGATGTGTTGTATTGTTATTGTGTTGTTATGTTTGGTATAATTTGATTAGATTATTAAACCTTATGTTTCATCTTATGCAATAAACTCTATACTCTTACCACTGCCTGTCAAATTATTTACAGTTTACACTTGTTCACAGTTCATTCAGGTCTGCACATTGCTGATGAGAGGCCAAAGGACTGCAAATGTGGGAAATAATAATAATATTAATAATTGTTGGGGACAGAAAATATCTAGTTTTACCTGACATTATTTCATCTGCTGTGCGCAAATGGCTGCTGCGTTTCACCCACAAATATACAGTCGATTCACTTTATAGTATATTCTGTGAAGAGCTTTGAGACGTCTAGAAGATGTGAAAAGCGTTATATCAAATGCAAGGATTATCATTTATTTATTAATATTAGCTGATCTGGATTCTGGCATCGGGAACCAAAAGGGGATAAACTGTTGCATTCCCCAGGAGAAGTCTCATTCAGCACAGAAATGACCAAATCAGCAGTAAAAGGCTCCTGGTTAGATTTGGATGGCATGACATGCACAGCAATATTTTTTTTACAATGAATAAATCCAACCTTACTTTTCAACCACTGTACATAGTATCTGTTAATTGTCTGGGTATTAACTAGAAACTAAGTATATAATGTGTGATTGGCATCAGTGCCATGGATCTGCCATAGATCAGGATCTGAACAGAATCCATGTGCGTTATAAAGCCATGACAAGGTCATTGCATGAACCAGTCAATAAAAATGCACATCTTATCTGTGGTGTTATTAACTCCTGGAGTGTCTGAGACGAATGGGCAAATCGCTTAAAACAAGTTGTTGGTCAACAATGCTACTGTATTATTTACGGTATCATTGCTGAATTGATTTATATTTTAATCATTAAGCATTTTACTATAACTTCAATGGCCATAAAGAAAT